CTTTAATATCTGAACAGAAAATTAATTTTACCTAAGAATAATTAGAAGGTAAAACGAACTTTGAAACACATCTCTTTTTAACTTTTTCAACAGCTTTCCATTGAAAACACTTTGAAGCACTAAGATATTCTGAACAATAACCAATAGAACGTTTCTTTAACAAAATAATTTCAAATTTTTGCTTATCATAAGATCATTTTTGAAAAAACTAAGTGATTAGAGATGAACTGTGATATATTCTGATGGACAATTACTAATTCTGAATGACCGTTAATGAAATAATTCTTTTGCAGTTAGTTTTGATGAGTCACACAATAAATCAGATATTAAAATCAGCGATAATAATGATATCAGCGTTCAACGAGTTTAACTACATTTGTTTATAATAATTACTTAACTATTTTATTACTTAATTATTTTTCAGGAGCTGGTGAATGTGGCAAATCAACCGTACTGAAACAAATGCAGTAATGTCTTAATCTAATCTTATCATTTTTTTTTTCGTTTTGAGCTATTCATTTAAAATTATTTTTCTTTCAGTTTGAAATTTTCTTTTAGAAACAAATTAAATGAGATTATTTGTTAATTGCAGAAATTAATTAGTGGCCTATAATTATTAATGAATGAGTGTAAAATTTCTATTAGTTATAACAAAGAATATCTTAGAAGTGGCGTTTATGTTCAACTTCTCTCAAAAATTACAATAAACAAAATTTTTAAAATACTAGTAAAACTTTAAATAACTTTATGGAATGAGTGATTTACTGTAATTCTGATTAGAAAAAACAGAAACTAAATCTTAAGTATATAAAGACAAGTGAAATCGTAATGTTAAAATATATCTTTCCACTGAAATTTTAGAATTCTTCACAGTAACGGTTTTACGGAAGATGAAATCAATGAACGTAAAGCAGTAATTTACAATAATACGGTAACATCAATGTATGCTATATTGAAAGCAATGGATAATGTTGTTCAAATTCCGCTCGAGGATCCTTCTAAAGCGGTATTTATTCAGATTTATGATAATTACTCAAAACGTTCCTTTTTCCATTCTCAATAAAGACAATAAATTAAACGAATACTTTAATAATTAATAATGTAAACTTTTTAATTTAATTGTACCCAATACGACTACAAACTCCACCATAAGTATGAGAATAAATAAAGCTTTGAATATTCAATTTCGTTTAATTTAATGCTAGTTATTGAAATTATTGGAAAAATTAAAAAATAAAATATTATCAAAACTGCATAAATATCGCTTGACAATACAAAAAAAGGGTATTATAGCCTGAAAAAGAAATAGTTTTTCGAGTTGTGGAAGCTGGCGATGAATCTGAACCATTCACTGATGAACTTGCTAAAGCTCTTATATCATTATGGAGTGATAAAAATGTTCAAAAAGTTGCCGATATGAGAAGCAAATATCAGCTCAACGATTCTGCAAAATAGTAGGTTATTAATTCATGCTATTTTAAATTTCACAAATATTTTTTGAACAATAATAAGTTGATAGTTTTCGCTAGTTAAATAATGATAGTTTTCAAGTAATGATAAGTTGAAAATTAAGATGTTGAAAACTTAATTTTATGCTTCTACATATTTATTGGAATTCATTTATTTATATAAATACGAGTAATGTTTTGAATCGTTATTTACAAACTGCGATATGACAATTAGGCAAGAATGTCTAAATTTTAACTTAAATGATGTGCAGCCAGCTTAATGAGCATTTATGAATTCATTTGTAGTTGAATTTGGTCTATTTCAGTTTCCTGAATTCAGTGATGAGAATACATGAACCCGGTTATCGCCCTACCGAACAAGATGTCTTATTTAGTCGAGTAGCAACAACTGGTGTGGTAGAAGTTAAATTCAAAATAAAAGAACTGGATTTCAGGTATCTGAGATAGACTTTTTTTCTTTCTCTTTCTGTCATTGCATTTTCCATCTTCAAAAACATAAATATTGATGTTTGATATAATTTCTAGTGTCGAAACAAAAGAAAATTAAAAAAAAGTAATTTTGTTTATGAACAGAGTATTTGATGTTGGTGGACAGAGATCAGAACGTCGTAAATGGATCCATTGCTTTGATAATGTAGAATCAATCATTTTTATCACTGCTGTTAGTGAATATGATCAAGTGCTTTTTGAAGATGAAACTACGGTCAGTTCATAGTATGAAATTTAGTTTTTTTTACGAACTTTTCTCCGCAGTAATTAATGTCTGGATAGGATTTTTAGAATGTAAAATATTTCAAATTTGATGTTGTTGAATATTTATACTTATTAAGAAGCTAAATATAGTCTTAACTAAATTTTTCATTAGCGAAAGCGTTTGAAGCGTAACACTGAAATTTGATTGCTACAAGTTAACAGAATTGAACAGAACAATTAATTGTCATCATTTCCTCTGAATAATAATTTCAGCGAGCAATTTTATGATTAAATTTTGATTTAATTATTTGCAAGTGTTGCAGAATCGTATGATCGAATCGATGCAGTTATTTTCATCAATTTGTAACAGCACATGGTTCCTTTCGACAGCAATTATTTTATTTTTGAATAAAAAAGATTTATTTGCTGAAAAAATTCAACGTGTCAACATCACAACTGCTTTCCCGGATTATGAAGGTCAGCTTCTTTCATGCTTTATGCTTCTATAAAATTAAATAATTAAAGAATGAAAAAAAGGAATAATTTTATCTTCATAATTTTGCTTCAAAATAGTGCTAAAAAATGATTTACTTTTATAGTAAAAATACCTTTGTTCTATGTAATAATTCGTTAATTATTATGAATTCATTTACATTTATTTTTTTGGAATAATCGTTTGTTTCAACTAAATCTCCTCAAATTTATTTGTAATTTGAATTTTCCTTTCATTCAAATGAAAAGAATTAAAGAGCTTTGGAGACTATTTCATTCTAAAACTTGGCTAATTAAATAGAAGAAATAGCTTACAACTGATATTTTTATTCTGAGATAACACATTAAGCATCTTCCTTCTTAAGCATTCTTCTTTTAATCTGATTCATATTAGCTATACCACAATTAATTAAGATTATAATCTTAGGCTAAAATTTAATCAACTGCACACAGTTCTTCACTGTGACACTTATTCAATTCACAAAATTTAATTAAAAAAGAACTATGTATTATCAGCTGCATGCATTAAATGTTGTTTACTGAATAATTTTAACAAAAGTAATATTCCATTTTCTTTCAATATAACAGATAAAATCTTACCTATCTATGCTATTTCCTAAAATTAAAATCTCTTCTTATGAAGAAATTCTCATATAATTCTTAAATTAGATTTATAACATATAGATATATTTAAAAAAGCAAAGCTAAAATTCAAAAATCTCATAAAACAAACATTTTTGGAATATCAAAATTTTTTTTCTAAATAAAAAGTCCGAAACTTTATTTCATTGCAGAAAAAATTCAGCTACTAAAGTTAGGTATTGAAAAAGAATTTTTGAATTTAAAAAGCTCTATCGAAGGATAACAAACGTAAATGCACTGCCGTAATTGAAATAATTCTGGGTTTCTTAGTAGTAGTCATAATCGTGATAATGATAATAGTTATCGGAACTAACAATAATTACAAAGATTAAAATTGATGAGATGTTAGTGGAAAATGATATCAGTGGACAGTGGTTGTGATCACCACAACTTCTCGGTTGTACTTATATTAGGGCAGGAGCATTGGGTACTTTCGTATATTTGATTGCTCTCCCACATGTGTTTTTTTGAAGAGCAAACTGATAAAATATAGCAGTAGGTATCAGTAATCTTACCTTCTCTTTTCTTTTTCCTCTATCCTTTTACATTACTTTTCTCCACTCATCATCTTCCAGTGGTATCAGATTGAAGTGGTCTCCATACTCGTACTCTGAAATCTTCTTATTTAAGAAATAACCTCTCCCTAATAATAACAGTAATTAATAATAGCAAATATATATTTTCATACTCAAAACCTTTTATCTTTCAGCACAAATTCCAACGCATGGAATTCCAAAACTTAAGTTCAAAGTGCCACAATGCGTTTCTTTGAAGAGCAAAATTCAAAGTGCCATAATGTGTTTCTTTGAAAAACAAACTGATTCAAATTTCAGCAGTCAATCTAAACTTGAGTAAAACCAAAAGCTTCATGAATAAAAGGGCATCACTAGCAGTTAAGCTTTTTTAAATGAAACAAATCATACTTTTAGGTGGTCAGAATTACGAAGAAGCAATGAGTTTTATAAAAATGAAATTCAGCGAACTGAACTTAAACCCGGATAAAAAGACAATTTATATGCACGAGACGTGTGCAACAGATACCAATCAAGTACAATTGGTTATAACGAGTGTCATTGACACAATCATACAAAAAAATCTTCAGAAAGCTGGGATGATATGATTAAAATACTATTGGATTCCGCTTTTCCTCATTTTTTTTTATATTGTGATGATATATTTTGTAAATAAATGCATATTTACATGTCAATTCCAAACTTCTAAGGCTTCAAAAAATTTTTACCAGTATTGTGAAGAAATGAATTCCATTTTATCTTCTCTATATTTTCTAACCGAAACTAACGAATGAATCTCAAGGAATAAACCAAAGTCTTCATGAACAAAAGAGTACCATTAGCAGTTAAGCTTCTTTGAATTATTAACTGTTAATATTCATAATCAAAAACCAGTCCAATGCTACTTTGTGCCAGCTTCTCAAACTCTAAACTATTTATGGGAATTTTCGGCCACGGAAGATTTCTTCTTAGAAATCATGTTTTTTGACTTCTCAAAGTTGAAAAGTGACAGATTTTCTTGCGTGCGCGATATCGTTTTCCACTGTTTTAAGCCAAATCTAAATGTCGAATTTATGTCAACTTCATTTTCTAAAAACTTTTTAAATAAGTGATACATGAGAAATTCACAAAACAAACGAATCAAGCGAGTTGTTATTTCATTAAATAATTCAAATTGTCATAGCCGTATATTTCATCCGACTTCAGGCCCACTTCTGCTTTTTTTCTTTTCCACTTTAACACTTCGATGCAATTTAGATTTTTTGTTGGTCCTCGTCTGACTCTTTCGCTCCCGTTTTATCCCTCCAAATCCATTAATTTTATCCCGCTTATTATTCTTTTTCTTCACCAAATTTTTGATTTTCGAAATACCATCTTTTACAGGTAACAGTAGTCGTTTCTTAGCTTCCTGCTTTTGTTTCCTTTTTTCTCTCAATTTGGAATGTTTTTCTATCGCTTTTCTTAGCTGAAATATAGTACTGAATTGTACTATTACTTTTAAAGATATTTTTAAGATAATAATTTCTAAGACTCCTCCAATAAGTGAGAAATAAAAAGAAAGGCTACCTTCACAGGATTTAACGGTTTCAGGTCATCTCCTTCCTCCCATTCATCGTTAACCGTCGGATAGAGCACAGGCTTCTTAGCTGCAAAAAAATTTCATAACTGCAAACTTCTGCAGCATTTAACTAGGCACCAAACTTGAGAATTCTTTAAATGTTCTTAAAGCGATATACTTATTAAATAAACTTGATCGTCCAATCAAAAAGACGTCAAATTAGAGAAAACCTAGTCTGAATGAAATAAAATAGCTAATCTCAAAACGCAGTCAGATAACGATCTGTTCTCATATTTTTCCCACCACTTTAAAATGAGGAAACTAACTATCCGAATCCAGCACTTTCACTTCACCGTCCCTGTACACTAAAACTTCTAAGCCTTCTGGCAATGTTGACAACTCATCAGCAATTGCTTTTTTGTCTCTTTTAGCTCTGAGATCCTTCATTTTCATGGGCTTTGGTAAGTTGATCGCATTTCTAGGACCTAAAACACTGAATTTATGGTGAGACTTGAAACTTTTTCTTCAAATTAACGGGATAAATGAGGCTTCGTGTTAACAGTTAATCAATGGAAACGTAGATCAATGGAAACCATAACAGCGAGAAATATTAAAAAGAGATCGCAAAGATCACAAAGATTCTACATTTCAAGAATTTTCGAATGGCAACCTGTATATCTTGGCATTGATACGAACGAAATGCAATGATAAAAAGCATTCAAAAACAAACCGGCATCCACGTAGAGAGGTAATGATGGTCCGCCTGTCACCATTTGTAGACTTACTGAACGAATGTTGCATAAACCACCAGGGCAATACTGAAATACATTTTCAACTGCTGCACGCACATTTTCTACGATACAATTGATGGGATTATTGAGATTTCCAATGCGAAGACTCCTGGAATAAAATTTTATGAGACTTTGATTTGAACAATTTCGAGATCGAATTTTGAATGGATGGAATGGATGTTATAATGTAGTTAGAAAAGATATGGATGAGACATTCAAAGCTAGAATGTATTCATTTTTAATCTTAAATTTCATTGATTCAGTATCAGTTATATAAAATACAAACAAACTTGAATAGAACAGGCAAATCTAATTTGGAAAACAGAATGACAGCAAAAAAGAAACATACGTTCGCGTACGGAATGGAAAAAGTGGGAATGTGACGGTGTAATAAGCTTTTTCAATCTCCTTTATCAGTGATCCATGTTGATGCATTGGTAATCTTAGAGGAATTCTGAAAACAAACAATTTTATTATAATATATAGGAGAAACATTACGAAAACGAAGTATAATTTTCACATTATGAATTTAAGGTATAAACAAAAGTTCCCGATATATGAAAGATTGAAGGGCTGTCAACTGCTGCAATACATGGACTAAAAAATCTCGAAATTAATATTGAGAAAAATCTTCAGTTACTGTCTACTGTTAACTAAATGCACGTATACTTAAGGCTTCGCCGAATGCAAGATAAACCGCAAGAGGATCCTTTGAAATTTTTATTTTCAAATACTGCCATTGCCTTACTTTTTTGCCTTGTGAAACTCTTTGCCACAAAAACGTATAACACTTTCTTCGATTACGGCGTCCACCAGAAAGATATCATATGCAGATGCCAGCTGACGCCTATCGTAATAAGAATGATATTCCCTCTCCAACTGCCGTTTTGTCAAAATCTACAAGATCATTTTTTACCCACCAACTACTAAAGACTGTCTTAATATAAACACCACTTTCAATCTATATCATGACGGAATTATCACTTCCAGGAAAGAAAATCACTTAGCACTCATTTTAATATACCTGTATCTGTGAAAATAAATTCCAATAAATGATTCGCATTACTATTCAAAACCCAAAAAATACCTTTTGCACGTGCTCCTTGCTAATTCCGAATTCGAGCTCCAATTTTTCGCTCCATAGCCTTGCTTGCTTGTCAACGTCAGGATCAAATTTCCCCTTTACGGATTGGTCCAAATCTCGCATAATCAAGCAAACAGTTGTATTACCTTTTTCGTACAATGAATGCGGTAGAATGCTGTAGAAAAAAAAAAAAAAAACGAAACTCTTCTTGTGTACTCAAAAAATGTGCAAAATTACGTCATACAGTTTAATAATGTACAGTAAAAATGATTTAATGAGCTTTCTGAAGAATGCAAATGGTTCCGCCTAGCCAACCTTCGCAGTGCTATGACCGATATCATGTCTACATCGACCTGCATGCTATGGATTTCGGAACATAACAGTATAATGCCAAATTTTAGCCTAATACGAAGTGGCAAAGTTATGATACAAATATATACTCGGTATAATAAAATTAACATTATTTTCGATTTTTGTTATGGACATAAAACTTTTTGATCGGAGAAATGTTATGCATGGATTTTTTTCTCCAAAAATACTGAGCTTAAGCCTGTCTGCGGCTTACATATCACTCAATCGAAAAAGTCTTATCAAAATTGATATGTATTTATAACATTTTATTCCTTGAAGATATGATATCATGTTGGCTAGCAAATAACAATATTCAGCAACTCACAAACGTTTGACACGACGTCCGGCGAGTGTAGTGCCCGGTTTCTTATAAACAAACTGAACGTGAAGCAACTGATCAACTTCGGGAAACAACACTTTCTTCCCATTCTTTTCACTAACTTTTATTAAAACATCCACAGCTTCTCTAGCCTGTAACTTCATTCTCTGTACTGCTAACATGCTAAAACACTCTTCACTACATATAAACTTAGAAGACTTGATTTTTTGGACTCAATAGAAAGCGAACTCAAATGAAACTTAAAAACACTTCACCAAAAAAATTTCATCCAGCATTTTTCTAAAATCTGTCGTTGAAGTCAGCAAATGTTTTAAGTTGAGAAGTCCTCCTAGAGAATTAAATATACCTTCTGCTCTATTTGGGACAAGGCGGCCGACACTTCAGCCTCCTCATTTTTATTCACCGGAATGTTCTTTCTGCAGTCATCAGCGGACGGAGCATTCATTTCCAAATCCTAAAGTAGATCACATTTCCCCCCAGATTTGTAAAATAAATGAAGAGCAAAGAAATTTGGGAAATAAATTTGTTACCTGACCAGGTAAATCTTCATCGGTCGGAAAATGTTTCATTTTGAAACCAAAAATCAGTTGAAAGGTCCACTAAATGCAGGAATTCGTTGTCTTTCACTTTACTCTTTTTTGAAATGCATACACCTCAAAAAGCTTCATCTCATAAAAAGGAAGAATGAGGAGGAACTTCACAAACACTCATCATTAATAAAAAGCAGTTCATTACATATGAACTTAAAAGACTCCTCTTTCCCAAGAACAATTGCACGACAGAACAAAATAGGAGTTAAAAATTGAGGAAAAAGTATATGGCGTATGTCACGCAAATCTAATAAATTTAGGAATCACTTCAATTAAAACCAATTTTATCGTTAAAATCATAATTATTAAAAAATATATAAAAAGCAGTTATTTTTTTCCAGTATTTTTGATACACAACACCAGACACAGACTCTGCAAAAATTTGACATTCATATTTTGAATTTCACGATAAAAAATAGAAAAAATAATAAAAAAACAGCAATATACAAATTACAAAATTTGATGTTTTCGAAAAAAGCTTCAAACCTCAACAAATAAAAGATAAAGTCATAAAAATTGAGCGATATTATCGAATAAATTATACATTAAAGAAAGATTATATATTTTATACCAATGGATTTATCATCTATTAAGGTCAATAACGTATGCTGATAAATATTGCGCAGTTTACAATGAAAAGTATAAAAAATATCAAACAATCTTATTTACTTCTTTTTGCTATGCGTACGGATATTTTTCGGATACTGCTCCGGTTTTAAATTTTTGACTGAGTAAAGTCGAATTGCTCGCTCAGTTAATGAACCACCACACTTTAGACCACGTACTGAATGAAAAACCATTGAATATTAAGTAAAATAATATTTAGAAATGACACTAAATAAGTCCGAAAATAAAGTTTGGAAATAAAACAATTCCCCAATGAAAATTAAAAAAAACCTTCAAGGGCACGTTTTAAATGATTCAGTCCCAAAGATTCCAGTTTTTCTGCACTGTCGTAGTCGTCCAAGTTGATATCAAAATCAGTCACTTTGCTTGATGCCTTCTCCACAACGATACTTGACTTCTCAATAAAAAGTGCTACTGAAAATCAATCTTTTAATTACCTTTTCCAAACTGAAAATTGAACATTTCCAGGCTCACAAACATTAGCATACAGAGTTATTATTCAGCGTACCTTCTATTTCTGAAGACGTTTTTTCTTTCTCATTTTCAACACTCTTTTTGCTTCCATCATTAATAGGAACTACGCTTCCGCTGAAATTGAAATTATTTTATTGGGAGGGAACTTTCGAAGGTTAATCTAAGTCTAGAATTTTCCAATAGTTAATGCCGGCTTGATAACACTTCACAATATTCAACTTAGCCTTGTCATAACAATTGCATTTTCTTACACATTACAAAAATAATGTTTCTTGAATTATATACAAAGTGATACCTCTTCTGTAACTACTAATCAGTTCTTTAGCTGTGATTCCTATTTCGACTTTGAAAAACTCAATACTTTAAACTAGAATGTCCCAATTACTCAGAATCTGTCAAAATTACCTTTCGTCATCCAAACTAGGCATTACGCATTCAAGTGTTTCGTTCGCCATCATTTTTCTGCGTTTTGGCAGTATAGTCTTTTCCCCCGAATCATCATCTTCAACCACTTGTGATTCCTGTTTCGACTTTATCAAACCATCATTGATCCTCTTACTTTTAGCAACAACAATGCCTAAATTAACCATATTTTTAGAAGTAAAAAGAATTTCTATTTAAATTAAGATCAGATCATCTTTCTATTAACCCATAGCAAGCCGTTTCTATTTAATATAGATGAAGCCAACAAAAAAAAATTAAGTTCCTCCTACGGTTCGAAAATCCACTATACATTACTAATAACTTTAATACTCTTTTTTTGAAAAATATGAAAAACAAATTTAGTTAAGTTGAACAAAGTCACCTTGTTCAAACGCTTCATCTGTTTCTTCCATGATTTTTTCCCGTGTTTGAATAAAATCAGGATCATTGAAATCATGTTTTTGAGGACCTGCTTTCAATTTCTCGTATTTCTTTTGCCTGGAAGTACTGCAATTAAGAAAACATAAATGTCGTGCCAAATCCCTTCAAGAGAAAAGCAAAATACTCAAAAAGAAACAATGATAGTCTAATTGTCTGAAAAAGTGCCTTTGCCGGCGTTTTTCTTCTTCCCTCTCTTCTGCTTTTTCAATCCATTTACGGAGTTTCTCTTCCTCCTTAATGTCAGCAAGCCGTCGTCCAGATAAATCGCGGCACATCAACTGATTAGTTGAGCGATGAATACGAAATGAGCGAAGCAGTGAACCAAAACCTGAACCAAAACCCATTGGAAGCAAAAAATAACCCTGTCATAGAAACGCCAGGGATTAAAAAGTAATCCTAAAATAAAAGTAAAGAGAAACTGCTAATTAAAGCAATACGTCCCATTAAAAACAAAAAAGAAATGAAGTTCAATGTCGGCTGACTCATACAAGTCTATCTGAAACTTATTTGGTTACTCAAAACTAGTATACGATGAACACCGAAAACTATACCAAATATGGCATTGTAAAACTTTCTAATATAGTAAATAGGAAATATAAAATCTCGGATAAACCTCCTTTGCCTCCGCGAAGTCTGAAATGCACTTGGAAGTGAACATCCTCATCCAAATTCTTCCAGTCCACAATCTTCCCATTAACAGTGACATAAAATAAATCTTCCGGTATCAATTTGAGCTCAGTGATCGTTCGAATAGCAGAATTGAACATTTCTTCAAACATCAATTGAGATGATAAATAAACAAAATGACATCAAAAAAATTAGTTCGGAAGATAAAATCCTAATCTAATCAGGTGAAGTGTGCTAAGCGCTACCAAATATGAAATGTTCAGACGATGAAATCATGAACAACAGCCTCCCATTTCAAAACACACCAAGGTTGCCATGCAACTCCCACCCCACGTTCTCCCTCCCACAACCCCTCGAACGCACTGCCTAAGATCCCGTCCACCCCAATATGACAGGCCGCTCTTATCCGCCATGAAATACCGCAGCGAACTCGTCCAGATGTGAAATACAAGAGGCACTCAGATTGGCGTCAAAACCAACGTTTGAACGTAAAGGAGATGGTATTTAGGCGTCATAGTGTTACATGTGAATGTAGCCTATTGCGTATTTGTGATATGGTAAGGACAGGACTGTTGAGCAAATGATAGAGCTCTATCTTTAGTTAAGTTTTTAGCTAACAAAAATATTGCTTGATAGACCAACAGCATGTAGATGAAAAATGGCTAGGCAAAGGCGTTTTACTTTTAGAAGTTTTAGAAGTCACGTGGGCACTGCGCATATATGAATAAACCATTCTTTACACACTATTTGAAATGCTCTCTTGCCTTCTTTTTATATAATCTCACTGGTCGTTTTTTGAAATTTTAAAATAATTTTTGTGTTTCATATGTTTGATACATGACATTTTCCTGCTTGATGTTGTCTTCTTCAAACGGTGTTATTAAGAATATACTGGAATATAAAACAGTAGTCAATGTGATACAGAGAAGACAGCATAATTCCTACTCGTGCACTCTATTTAATGAGTTTTAAATTAGTTTTATTTGATGATTTGAGTTGAGAACAGACTATGCTATCACTTCAGGTATTTGTAAATGTGGTATAGGAAATGTTTGCGTATATGTTTTGTCTTATATTTTTGCTTGAATAATTAGTAAGTGTTGCGGTAGGGATGTAAAATGCATACATAGGTTCTTCTCTTCTCTTAGACTTGAATTTTTGTTGTGAGGTCGGTGTTAGAGTGTCCTTTTATTGAATGATTAGTAGCACTTGTAGTTTATCAGGTTGCCACTTATATTCTACTAGATAACTCCTGAAGGTGGCACACTACACTTAACTAGTTTTAATTCTTTACAATGGAGTTCATGACTCCAGCACTCGAAACAACGGGAAAAGTGAGCATGTGAAATATCGAAAAGACTTAGTAGTGCTACGACAGACTACGACAGATTTTTGATGCTTATATTCCTGGGCTAATTATTTGCCAACACAAGTGAAATATCACACTGGTTTATTTGCATATTCCTGCAACACAGAATAGTTACTTTTAACGAAAAAGTGCTATGCAAAAGCCAAAAAACATTATGAAGCAGTTTCAGCGTATCTTTACCTCATTTAAAATTAAACTGAAGTAATTCAGAATAGGATTTTTTACATTGATCCTTTAGTTTACTGGATCAAATAATACAGTAGATTTTCAAAATTTAGGTAGATGAGAGATCTCGTTGATCAAAATACAAGTGCACAGGCGCATTTATCATGATTTGACCAGTTATTAACATATTTCATCAGTTGCTTAGGTAATATTGGGATAAGATTGGTATCCCTTAGGAGTTTCATGTTCATTTAAGGTGAAAGTGTTTTAATATTCAGTAAAATCTTACCGTTCTTACCTTTCAACGTTTTTTTGACCGCACGGTTTTAGGTTATACGATAACGAAAATGGCAACGGTGTTCCCGCATCCAGCACCTGGCGATCCTGTAATAGGCTATCAGCTGTCGGAAGTTTCACCATTACCACCACAACCTATATCCATTTTACCTACACCATTACCTGTAATACCACCACCCCAAGGAACTGTATATTTTCAACCCCCATATATTTTCCAAAGCGGTTTACTGCAACCGATATTTTGCGAACAACCGAATGTTCCACCGTCGCTCGAAAATACTACAAGGGAAGGTCCGACAAGTAATAATGCTGGCACGGTGCAAGGCATGTTTTTTCGCAAACTCTGGTAACTTTATCGTACAATACATAAAATACTGCTACCATTTGCATGAATAGTAGCATTATTTTATACATCCTTTTTCTCATAGGTTGTTTAGGTTTTTTAAAACCTATACCGCAATTTTTATATTTGTTCTATTTAAACACATAAATAAACACAGTATTCATTACTGTTGCTTGGGTTGAAGCTGTTAAAGCGGTTAAAATATGGTTATTCATTTCAACTATTGTCATACACGTTTCATTGAACTAAAACTAGTAACTTGGTAACCTTCCTCTCAGCTATTTATTTCTATCCTAATATGTTCAAACAATGATTTACAGAAGCGGCATCGGAATTGTCACCAAATCCGGTTTTCTATCCACCGCCACCGCTTTCTATTCCTTTTCCGCCTCCGGTGCATCCTTTTTCACTTTTTAGCCCTTATATACGTCCTAATCCAGTCCTTTTTGTCTTATCACCATTCCCTGAAACTTCCGCTCCTGGTAATCCACTGCCACCATTACCACCTTCTTTGACGTCGGTTTGTTCAAAATCATCACCAGTTCTACCGCCATTATCATCTTCATTTGCTTCTGCACCGTACCAGAGTTGGCCGACAACTAATCCTACATCGCAGAGTCCAACTGTAAGAATGACACCGAGAAAGGATAGCATTTTATCGACGGGTAATTACAATTCAACTTTTTGACAAAAAACGCTAATCGCTAATTATACAAATGTATTGGAGTCAGGTAAGAAAGCTTTATTCAAAAAACTGACACGATAAAGTATTTTCCTCACTCAATAGATGTTTCGAAAGAATGTTTTAAAAAATACGTTCTTCAAAAATTATATCCGCAATAATCAAATATTCCATAAAAATATTTCATGGTTTCAGGAAGTAATCTAATAATTGGGAAATTTTTTTTACAAATACTACACGAAGTTGTGCTTCATTGAGAAAAAAAGCGAGGTATTTTACTTACTGAGGGTTTCTGTAGCACATATCAGTAATTTTTCAACTGTATATTTCAGGTACTAACCAATCGTCATTCAAGTTTTCTGGGAATGATGACTGCAGAAATTTCCAGAGGGACAATGCTGTGAGTTAACAATATTTTTTCTGAACATGTCTCAATTTATCTCAAAAATTTTATGAACAATAATTGGATTCGTAGGGATTCTTGTTTTAAGAGCTTTCCCCAATATCCTTTTCGTACTCACTTAGCAGATTTTTGAATTGTTAGATTAAATGTTAGTTTCTGTGTGGAAATCTTATTATTTGCTAAGTTAGTCCTCCTTAAATCACCGAAATATTTATGAGGAAATTACGTTTTTGAACTCATCAACTTTTTCATTTATTCAGAATCGGAGTGAATTAATATGTCGGAATAGGTCAGGTCCATTATTGAATAACTACCGCACTAAGCTTTGCATTAACTTCAAGAATGGTCACTGCCCTTACGGAGATAAGTGTCGATTTATTCACCAGCAAGGTTTTTTTTCCTTTTACTATGAACAGTTATTGCTAATAAGTTAACGGAAAGTATGCAGAGATTTTCTGTATTTGTTAAACAAATCTGTACAACTGTTCGGACAGTGTAAATTTTTTCAGGATCGGATAGTGTAATCAAAACAAAATTTTCCACAAATGCTCCTGCATTCGTGCCAAGAGCTAATGCGTAAGTTCCAGAAAAAGGCAATTCTATCCAAAATCTTTGACTCTGTGAACTTGATTCTTTTTATTTAATTACATCTGTTGAAGCAAAGAAAAGAATTGAAGAATTTATTGCGTATTAGAAGTTTAAAAAATATTCACATTTTAAATTGACAGAATTGTAAACGAAATTTAGAATGGTCGCTAAACCGAACAGTCCATCTGCTTCATTGGATATGGTCCCACCGAATCGTTTATACAGTTCGACACCTGTATCATTGCTGGCAAAAGGCCAGAGCAGTGGCCTGGATGTAAAGGAGAGGCCAACTACGCCAACAGGGCGACGAGTATCATATCGGCAAGATTTCAGTGCTGGTTATCGACGACCATCTGTGGCTGACGGGCCTCATCCTTTGCCTGCATGTTGATTTCAAATCTTTTACTGCTCCTGATACCCAAATTTGATCTCATTTTTTAATTCTATTTTCTTCCTGCACTAGGAAACGCATTTCCTTCCACCGATTTCTTGCTAGGTTGCTAGGTTAGATACTGTCGACAACTATGAGTTCAACCTTATATATAAAACTGAAGTTGTCATACCTCGTGTGAAAGTTAAAAAGTGTTAGAAAGAGTGAATCCATCACTTCACTCTATCACATTGCTGGGATTTTTTGTTACGGAAAACAGCGCTGTTTTTTGCGTGAACTTTCTCCAGCCTTCATGTTGATTCCTCACCCTTCATGGTTGATTTGAAATACTTAAAAGCTCACTTAATGTGGCTTTGGGTCATAGCACTTTACCTCTTTTTTATTTAATTTGTGTACATATGGATGCTAGCTACAAGCTTCTCGCGCACCATGTCATTTGATCATTCCTCATACAGCTTCTGAATCTTTCAAATTTTGTGTTCTGGATCAAACGAATAAAATCTTCTGATTCTGTTTTTGGACATACTTTCATTATTTGCATTGCGTAGTTTCGATTTTTGATGCATTATAACGACTTTAATTCTTCAACTCGTAGGTAAATTTTAGATCATCACGCAAAAATATAGCGATTTGCAGAAGACAAACTGATATGAAACCAAATAGATGTACCTATATAAAAGTAATTATCACCCTAGTGAATTTCGGCCGTAGAGTTCGGATGCGGGGGTCATTCGAGGAAATGCAGCAACTCGCTCCTTTGTGAGCGCGTCGCGTTTGGGTTGTTGGGTCGTTGATCTTCAGGCTTTCTGGAGTAGGAACAAGATGGAGCAGAGTGACATTAAATTAAAAACATAATGGTCCGGCGTTGTTGCACACTATTACCAAGATGGGGATTGTGGCGTTTTGGCTGGGTTGTTTTGGTGGTGTTGTAGGTGTGCAGTGGGGGTGTCTGGGGTAAGCGGGCTATTGGTAAAAAAAGGAAAGATAATAACTGGACGAACGAAACACTATATTTGTACGCTTGCGTAGAGTGATGCGTACTGGTTTGGTAGCACTATTAGACAAATAGTATTTTTGTTTCGAAGACAGTTGCCCTGTATATGTTATTAAAAGGTTTTCGGGATTTCAATGTAACATTTCCCGAATTCAATGCGTAATAGAACTAATTGAATTGTATATATAAGGAAGTAATAGCAAAGAAGAGAACGTAGAAGGGAAAGATGGGATAATGTTGTTGTCAATGGATCAAGCACTTAATTTTTGTGTTCGTGTTGCTGTCGCTACAGTCGCGTCAATTGTTGTCATGAAACTCGCGGCGAAGTATATTGATCCCAATCATGCCATCAATAAAAATGCGAAGAGGAAGGTTAGCTAATTCAATTATAGAACTCATTCAGAAAGTTGCAGTTGACCTTCAAATCGTTCATTTTTGTAATTAAATTTGCAGGCTGCGCAGGTAATCAAGGCATTAGGCTTAGATCCATCAATAGAGCTTAATGAATACGAACTACGTATAGCTACACAATTCGTCCATTGTGGTCAGGTTAGTTTCACTAATAATTTGAACTTTCCAGTTTTCATCTGACCTTTATTCAAAGATAATAGTTGTACCCATATGATTTGCAGAATTATCTACATAGGTCTCGTGAAAGTGGAATTTTTTTTAATATTCCATCTCTCCATTCTGTTAAAATCATAGAGAAGTAGTTCAGAAAGGATACGATCAGGCGTCCAATATGCTGAATCGTGGAATTTGTCCTAGAACTTGGATCACACAGTAAATCGAATGATATGGTTGCGTCGAGACATGCACAAATTGGATTTTAGGGTGCAGATTGGTGCGATGTTGGTGGCTGCGACGCAGTTATTGAGGAAATTAATGATCGCATAATTATTCCACTAAAAATTCGCAACGTTTACAAGAAATTCGCATTGTCATCAAATCTTCTTTCTCCGCCTAAAGGTAATTCAATTATTTCGTTAGTCGGAATGGGTCATATGGCAGTCGATCATCACTGAACTTATGTGCAGAAGACATAATTAAACTACTGGAATAGTCATACATTACCAAAGTAATGTTTCATCACATAATTTTTCAACAGTTTTAGGATTTTATAATTTTGTGACTGCTAGAACAGGAAGTTAAGCAACATTTCAGGAGTGCTTTTATATGGTCCACCAGGGTGTGGTAAAACTTTATTGGCAAAAATTATTGCCCGCGCAGCGAATGCTCGCTTCATTAATTTGCAAGTATCATCGCTGTGTGACAAATGGTATGGTGAATCACAGAAGCTTGCTGATGCAGTTTTCTCTGTGGTATTTATTTTAAATTTTGTATAATTATACGATATGTGATAGATTATTTGAGGTTTTAATTGAACATACTGTTTCGGAAATATTTTTTATTATGGGCTGGAGGAATATTGAAGATGTGGGCTTATACAATACTAGTTTTTTCCTGGATGAACAAAAAAATTGTAAAAGAGCTAGCTTCATTTATAAATATAAATCTTTGTAGTACTTTCCTTAGTATGATAAATCTAATCAACTTTTTCAGGCACAGAAGTTCCAGCCCACGATCATATTCATTGATGAAATAGGTGAGCGTGATGATGACAAAATTTTTTTGCATTTTGAAGTTTCTAGCTTTGTTTCTGTATGCCTGACCATTTTTATATTTTTCATGATTTCAGATTCATTTTTAAGAGATCGAAATACCCATGATCACGAAGCCACTGCTATGATGAAAGCGCAGTTCATGTGCTTATGGGATGGTTTTGCTTCATCAGGTGAGCATATGTTTGAATTGTTACATTAGAGCACTCATTTCCATTTTATCGAGTGTGCATAGTATGTTTTCAGAGCATATTATTCAACTTCAAAAAAATCAGAATATATGTCGCCTTTTTAGACGTTGCTTTACATTATTTTAGACGATGCAATCGTCGTGCTCGGAGCAACCAATAGACCGAACGACGTTGACAGTGCCATTTTGCGACGAATGCCTGCACGATTTTACGTTCCTTTACCAGTAAGCTTTAACCTCAATTTTGAGATCATGCTTAAAACTCCCTATATTAATATACTTTTCCGTTACAAAAACACTAAATATTGAGCATAACTGAAATGATTTTCACACTGATTTTCAGCAATTTTAGAGTTTAGAATCCCGTGCAGACATCTTAAAAGTTTTGCTAAGAGATCAACCGGTAACACCAGAAATCAATTTTGAAAAAATATCAGAATACGCCACCGAACTAAGCGGATCTGACTTGAAAGAAGTATGTCGGTTGGCGGTTTTATCACGAGTCAAGGATGCATTTATCCGAGGGAAGGACTTGTACGTTTCAGCTTTTAATTTTTGACAGAAAATCAAAATCATTTTCTAAAGGTAAGGTTGTAAGGATCACTGGATGCTTGTTTAACTTCTCCATTCCAACTGTTGGACCAACATTGATAACATTGACATTGATATTTGAAGTATCATTTTATTCGATCTGATTTATGTCTATTTTAGAAATAATGAAACGACGCGAATGATTCGCGAAAGTGACTTAATACAATCAGTGATAAAGTACAAACAAACGACACAGGTTTCCGGAACAATGCCAGTTTTTGAGCCTCTCGACTAACGTAGACCTGGTTTTTCTGGAATGATCAAAATAACTTCAATAACTGCTCATAGAACAACAGATCACGTTTTCTTTTATTGACTAGTCGTTATTTTTTTTTTTTACTGCAACATTCTAGATTTCATTTCATAGTTTTTAAGCTGATGTAAGTTATCAGTATTGTCCTACTGTTACGCTAGACGTTTCCTTTGTTGATCTGTTTACTGTGCCTCAGATCATTATTCGATGAACCTAAAAGATGTTGTGCTATCAAGATATATTTATCTTGTTTATTCGTTCAAATCTGGCAAATGAATTGATCCGCTGGAATACTTATCAGTTCCTAACTTAAATTAGTGTGTCAGTTGCAAAAATAGTGTATCCAGTCGTTTTGTGTTTTTCGACACAATATAGATATTAGGGAGTTGTAAGTGCTGTGAAGTATTTAGTCATACATTGTTACGTTTTATTTTGCTTGTTCCATTTCTAATGTTTTTTCTAATAATTATGATGTTTGAGCGGTCCTCATTGATTTTTATGTTATATCTGGCGCAGGCTTATGAAGATTAATAATATTTGTTGGCTTTTATCCATACTTTTAAATTCCTAAGAAATCGTAGAATGAAAGTCTGGTCTATTCATTAGATTTTTCTGATTATCCCCTTCCTCACAGCTCAATGTAAAACAGTACAGTGATTTGACGGATTCATGTTGTTATTACTCTATTTTATAATTATGTCAATTGAACGATTAAATCTGTTAACACCATACCATCTGAAAATACTTCAAAAAAAGAATTTATTGATGAGGTACAGTTCATGGCAGCACATCAAAGAAGTGAAATCAAAGCAGTGGAATTAAAAGATGGAAAAATTGATTAAAGTTTGGATTTGGCGGTAGGCACGATTAACGGACGACCATGAAGAAATCCATAAATTAGAGCCCAAAGTCTGGCACGAAATAATGCGTCCTTTAAACAGTCATGTTTAGGGGTGTTGCCGATTCACTTTGGAAGTGTCCATTTTGATCAGATCTTCGATATCAACGTCGATCCCGCGTTGCGTGGTACTCACATGTGACGCGTTCAGCGTAATCTCATGTTTCGGTTCTTCTTCCCTTAAGATGATCAGGAATTGTATGAGATTTATAAAGTTTAGAAGGAATATTTCTAAATTCTTAAATTGAATATTTCATTGGAATAATGGTAAGAGCCGGATACTCTATAAAATAGTTGGTTTAAAAAAATCAGAAATTATTAAATTCTTAAATTGACATCAGAAATAAACCTGTTCCGTTTCCCTTCGTGTACTTGACGCGACAATTCGAAATACTGATTAGGATGAGTTATCACAGCACCCAAAGAATTCTCGGCCATTTTATGAGTAAATTCGAAATATCGCGTACAAGCTTTATCATACTGGGTATTTTTTGACAATAAAGTAATCTAAATCGTAATAAAGTAATCATGTAAATAAGATCGTTTTCAGTATCCCTACTTGAACATACCTTATCTTTCTGATACACTGATGCCAATATTGAAGAGATGAGAATGCATGATGAGGTACGGTATACTGTAAGTTAGCAAATACTGCAAATGAAAGCAGTATTTCGCGAAAAGAATTTTGTTTCATATGTCTCATACGATGCGTAAGAAAGTTGGAAATCCAGGTGAGGTTGGCTTCTTTTGAACATTTACAGAAAGAAGAAGATTTCGATTACTTTCTAGCTAAATTGAGGGCATAATTAACTTAAATTAGAGTCTGCACCATGCTCTCCTCCACCTAATAAATTTTCTCAACATTTGATCACTGATAAACAGTGATTAAAGGAGAGATACTAACAACGGCAGAAAAATGTTGCGAAATTTGACCACGCATATCTATCTTTTCTACAAAAGAGGTAAAAAACTCTTAGATTTGCAAGATAATCACAAAGCTAAAACTCTACTAAATTCTATATCTACTAAATTCGTTTTAACTTTTCTATACTAAATTTTACTTTTTCAAACCATCGGTAGCTGAAATAGATCACATGGAGATATTTCAATCTCCCTCATTTTTGTCAACAAATTTACTATGAATTAATTTAAGAAAACATCAGGCCTACTTGCTCAATTTGAGGTCTCGAAAAACCCGAATCTTCTAAATTTTGAGCGAGTAACCGCAAATCGCTGTGTCGATAAGGACAACCTAAAGATATATGTGTAAATATTCCTAGCTATTTCCAATTAATACGATCAATGATCGTTTGGTGAAATATTTAAAAAACATGAGGTAAATGGAAAATCAAATCAGGGATTAAAAGAGGATGGAGTAAATCTTCCCTCTTTTCAATTTCATTATCGAGTGAAATAAGAGGGGTGTACCGCTAGGAGTAGGTTAGTAAGGAATATCTGAAAATGGAAATGTTTGGATATTAAAATTACCATGACAATCTGCAGATGACGGACTAAGATCCAAAATTATTTTTGTACAAGGATATGCCGAATAATCTGCATGCTTCCCTTCTTTCCCATAATTATGACGAATATTGTATGCATATTGCTTATCAAACTAGAAATCAAAAATTCATCTCCCAAACAGAATGTATTTATATCTCACGGAAAAATCTGTTTTAAATTAGGTACTCCAATCAAAAATTTTTTTCTCTGAATTTTGATGTTTTAAATGCCGATAATAAAAAAGGCAAAATATGTCGTATTTTTACAAAAGTTTAAAGTTCCATTAAAGTAATAGTGAAGCTTCACCACATTTTAGAAGATGAATTTCCTTCGATAAAGACAAAATTCCTTTTAGCCAACCTTATCTGAATCTAATTTTTTAGTGAATTCAGCTCTCCAAAACAGCAGTGCATCTTCCAATGTCATACCAATCCCTTTCAAAAACAATCCATATTGCATTCGAGCTCCATGACGTAAATGATGATCTGCCCTCAGGCGATTATGTATATTCCTCATACATAGTGGGAACGAAATTGCAGCCAGCTGAAATTTTTTTTGAAACTACTTTTTCAAAAAATTACTATCTGAAACAAATAAAAATAGGTAGGTGACTTTTAAAATAATCTGTTATTACTATTCCTCAACTTTTATGGGAAGCTACAATTTTCAGCTGTAATTTCCAGCCTTTCATTCAGTCCTCCAAAACAGCAGTGCATTTTCCAATGTCATGCAAATCCATGTTGTATTGGAGCTCCATATAAATAATAATCTGCCCTCAGTCGATTATGACATTCCTTATACATTAGTGGAATTCTGTATGTAAATTACCTTTTGTTACTACCTTCATGTCCAATGGAAATATTTCATATGCAAGTGTACGAAAGATCAGTGGCTTTGTACAAACCAAAAGAAACATTAGCTGTAATTTATTTAGCGCATCTGCAGAGAAGTATTCGAAGATTCAGGGAAAAGGGACTTCCGACGAATGACTATGCAGAATTATAATGAAAAGTTATATAATGCATATGCATGATAAGTCAAGAGACACACCGAATCCACCATATCAGGTGTAACACGAGAAGCATCTGTTCCAACGTAATTTTTACCCACATATGATCTGTTCGATAGCTTCTTCAAAAAGGGCATCAATCGATCATTTTCTTCAATGAATACAATATTTCTACAAGCACGCTGAAAGATAGCAAGCGCATAAATAAAACAACAATAATTAAACTGGTCATTTTTACAAAGCCATAAACTAAGATTTCAAGATTTATAATTTTTATCTCATCATCAACAAAACGGATTCAACATGAGTCAAACTTTGCTTTATATACAGTAAATGCTAACGGCCATAGAAGCGGCGATATTAAGACGAAGTTTTGTGGATAATATAATTTGGAGATCATCTTCAGAAACAAAAGCATAACCAAAAACTAGAAGAACTCGACGTTTACGAACTAGATCAAGTGCATCTTCAAAAGGAACTTTCCAGAAATCTGTGCTTGTAATCTGAAAGACAAGACTTGTGTTGAAAATGCGTAAGTATCTCAAAAATAAAATTTACAATTGATGTAATTGGTGAAGCATGACGATGCAAAAACGAGGAATGTATGCATCAAGAATGTATGCAGAAGAATGTATATTACATTGAAACTGAATTTTTTGAACCATGTAGCCTTGAACAGTTTCGCTGGCAGTGATATGTTGACATGTGGCTCGTGGGAAATAGAAAATACGATGCAGTGAACATCCAGCAAATTCTTGTAGTGATCAGTAATTTGCAGTAACTTCATTATAGAAAAAAGGAATAGTTGGAATTAGAATAAGGCGCCTACTCAGTACTGGCGCATGAATGATGTCTCAAATCATGAAATTATGTAGAGAACCTGGCAACAAATACCTTAATTTTAATTTCAGCGTTATCAGTTACAGGATATAAAAGTATATACTTTACATAATGAATATCCCATGAGCTTATGTAAAAGCAGCTAAAATCAAAGTTATCTCTGTTTAACCTTATTAAGTGATATAAAACAGGCATTTGAAAGTTCTTCCTTGAGGTTTTCTTTTTCAGAATCTGTGACCAGTTGAGCATCAAAATTATTGGCTTGTAGAAATTGAATTACAGCATCACGACTTTTTGAGACCTTGAACAGTGTTTTTACACATGATGAAAGTAAATCATGATATTCGAAAAAAAACAATATTTTTACTTATTTAAAGGGCTAAAACAATACTTTAAACATCCTCCCTTCCATTAAAATTGATAGAAAACGCACAATTTGAAAGCGAAATTTAAACAAGTCCACTTCCTGCTGGATGAACCATTTAGTCTGCTCAGGAGTTTGACAAAATGCAAGTCGAAGAATGAAATGAGATATAACATCACGGTTTCTTTCGCTTTCCAGTTCCTCAAGCGGACAACAACCACATGCTATTGGCATCAATTTCATCAATTGCTGAAAGATACTAAATGATCTTTGAGAACTTATTCATAATCATTTTCGCCAGTTTACCTTCACCGTTGAACAAATTTTTAAACGCTTTTATGATATCTGTGGTTGATGCCCACAGATATCATAAAAGTATTCTCATTATGCTCATAGTGGCCGCCAAAGCACTAATAAGCTACAACAATTAAATAGAAAAAATTCAGAAGCAATGATGACACCATAATTTATGCCCGCAACTGCTTGCTTACTTTTGATAATTCATCGTTTATTGCTTCTGTTCCACGTGGAAAACGATCTTTCACCTGTTCGACAACTTTCAACACTCTCAATCTATTAATCGCCAGCTCTTGAAATTCAAGTAGTGTGATATCTTCCATTGGTGGTTCCAAATACATTTGTAGATTTAAATCTTCCATTTTTTTTGGACCCTAAATCTGAGACCAGATAACAATTCCAGGGAGTTTTGAAGAATTCTTCATTATAACACCACTTGTTAAACCTCGTTTGAATTAAGTCAAATTATCTTAATTTAACGACACAAAATCACCCTGTGGACTGGTCCCCGAGCATTTTGAACCAGAAACTTTGGAATGCTTCTCGGATTTCCTTCAAACTGCATCTTCGCCAGTAACAATTCTCTTATAACTACTCCCTATAATGAAAATTATTTAAAAACCATGATAAACTTCCCTTAGAAATGTAAAACATATGAAAAAAATAAACTCAACAACCATTATTGTCACGTCTTCGAGACAACTCGTCAAAGCCAATCACCAAAAAGTTTCCAGAAAGCATGACATAGACGTGAACTTGGGAAGAATGTACTGAGAAACTATAGAAGCTATGTGAAGTGTTATTATATGAAATAAGCATGAGATCTGATATTTCACTTACACATTGCGCAAAGTTACCGGAGATTGCGCGAACCTTCCCTGTTACTTCACATATCCCTATCTGATTTTAAGGGCCCTCTTTCTAACGCATTTTTATTTTATAGAGCTAAGTGCGGAAACTTTACTGTTACAATCTCAAAAGCAGTAAATAAATGCAAAAGAAATTTCATATATTTCAGATATATTCCTCTGCATTTAAGCACACAGTATGACGGACGCAGTGTATACCGCTTCATGAAAATGAAATTTCAAAAAAAAAATTGAAAACTCGGAGAAAAAAGGTGAAAATAACCATAAGTGTCAAGTATTTCATTTTGAAGGTATTAATAGAGTAAGCATAAACAAATGTTTTATATTTTTTTATAGTGGAAACAATGACTAAGAACAAGCAGCAGTAGGTATCCTTTTACAACACAAACAATATATGGAATCAAATATATTAAATATAATTTTGTCAAAGCTAAACTATTCTAAACATAACTGATCATCAATTGATCAGTTTCCTCTAAAGAATAAGACAAATACAAAGTATTGGAGGAGCAGTTACTTATTGCTGCTACTACAACTGATAATAAAATATTCAAATACTCCTTTTAATATAAAAATACTACTCTTTTCCGGTACTACAAATAATGAAATCAATTCAATAAAAGTGATTGCAAAAGACGCCTACACTGACTATAAACAGAACACATTTTTCAAACAGCAATTCGCGAGACATTTGCGAATAACTGTTTTCCTGCATTTCCACATGATGAATACAATACAAAATAAGCAAAAAAGCACCAAAATAATAAACACTAAATTCAATGAAAATCATCAGTGCAGGAAAATGCATTTCTTATGCTTTCCTTGATAGACCTAATTTCTTTGCTTCCGATTCATAAATCAGCAATCTCCACATTTTTACAACGAACACTTCTGCCTCATCATCCAAAACCTATAAAAATTAATAGAAATATAACTCTACGCGTAATTGGTATATCTTCATTTCAGAAATGCAAAGCAGACAAAACACGACAATGTCAATCATGTTGTAGGTGTGTGAAAAAGTATGCTAATGAGTAGTGTGGACTGACAGTTATAAGTAACAGATCATGTACAATTAAATAAAAGTTTCCCCAATGTAAATAAAATACTGATGAAAACGTCACCATAGCAATGTCAGAAAGGATTTTTTGTGGATCAGTCTTCGATGTTACTTTTTCACAAACAAAATCAACTAATGAAGCTTCCTCTTCTCCAATATAATCCGTTATTTTTTTCGAAACCCACGGTTTAACCTACAAATAGAATGAAAAGTACAGAAGTGAAATGCATAGAAGCAAAAAATATTCGTAATGAATCCAAAATTTTATGGATTTCAACTTTTAAAATAATATTCACTCTTTGCTCAACGAGAGACTTATCGACATAGTTCCAATTGATTGGAAAAGCAAACAAATCATTTTTAGCAGTTGGAATGCGATCTATTAAATCCTTGATCATCTGTTTACGCTCTTCTGACGTCATCGCTTGAATACGATCCTAAACATTAATTTATAAATATTGAGGAAATTGATATGCGACGAAACATACAGAAAGCCACCAAAAACCTACGCCTTTTTAAAAAACCCTAACTCTGCTACCTCTTCAGTTATTTCAAATGGTTTCAATTTCTTCTTCCGAAATGCTGCGTCGTCGTCATTTTCTTCAAAACCGAATACTCCATTCAGATGTGAACTTGTTGACGGCCGTGCAGGTGTGATAACATCGGTACGCACAATTGCTGGACTTGCAAGCGATGATGACATTAAGGAAGGTGATGGGGCGCTCACTACTGGTGAATTCGCAACGGGGGTACCTTCGGATGCCACTGAAAAAAAATCCGGATGCCACTTGATTTAGTAAAAGCAGTTTACCGAATATTGTTGCACAGTTTAAAAGCCAACTTTATACATCCGCTACGAAAAATTTTTCATTCATTAAGCCTGCTTTTGGAGAGGAACTAAAATAAAAATCAAAATTATATTTCAGTGAAAAGCGAATTTAACACTAAACGATAATATTAATATTATGGATTTTATACCAGCTTTCCAGCTACTCCGCTTCTCAGGTTTCTCCGGTTTGATAGCTTCCTCAGCACTTCCTTCACTTTCAGAATCGCTTTCAGATTCTTCACTTTCCTCATCTTTTTCTGGTTCAGATGGCAACGGTTTCTGACCCAAAGGACGATGTGGATTTGGACTTCCAGAATCTGCCCGTAGTTTCCGTAATAGAGCTTCTTCCTAAACATGATTTTTCGGAAAATTTTTCCTCGAAGAAAAGTTTCTAAAAAAACACACAATAAAACTTAAGGATCAAGTAACCTGTTCCTCATGCCGTTTCCTGGCTTCCTCGTCCGGATTTTCAACATTCGCATTTTCAGCCAAAATTTGTTTCTTAAGCTCCTCAATTTCTTGTAGTTCACGTTGCCGATCTTTAGCATCTGCCTCACGCTCACGTTCAAAATCACGTCGACGTTGAAACAACGAAGAACTTCTGCAAATAACTTCAAAATGATCTCAAAAACTTCAGCAGCCTGTTTCCTTAAACGCTTCGAAAATATCAAAACAGAAGAACACATAATTAAATGGAGTGCCTTAACAAATGCACTGCGATTTTTCTATTAAAATCATGTATTGCCTCATTCACTGTGTGGCAATGTACAACTAGAGATACAATATATTGAATGAGCAAACATTCCCAAGCTCCAGGCAATAACATATCAAAATCTCCGTTTTAGATAGAGATGATTACTTGTAATATTTCTGATCCATGCGTTCATCATCATAATCTTCTAGGAAATGCTTCAATTTTTTTGCTTCTTTTTGCATATCGCGCTTACGTTGTTTCTCCCGTTGTTCATCCCGCTCATATAATTTCGCCTGCCTTCTTTCACGGGCTTCCCATTTACGCAACCTATCAGCATAAGCTATTTCTTTTTCACGAATCTGAAAAAATTTCCTTTAAGTATGAGTAATTATAAAATTCGAGCGATCAAATAATGGAAAGTGCATCGCTGTAGCTTTTTGCCACTTCAGACTATGAAAATCTATCTAAAAACGTTTAAACTTAAATATTAATGTAAAGAATAGGAAAAAAAACAATTTTAAGGTACGATGAAAAATTAAAACAAGTTTTAAACAAACTGACTTGTTTACGCAAAGCTCTTCGTTCCTTCTGTTCATCACTGTCTTCTTCTGAATCTCGATCTCTAAAAATCAATCACTGTGAAAGAATGAAACAGTATCTAAAAATCACAATGCATAGCAATAATAAACAAAGTTGCCTGCTAGGTGACTGAGATCTGAATGCTTTTCGTGTATGGCTTCCAGAGTGATTTGAGAAACTGCTATCGGAAGATGAACTGCTACTACTTCGACTTGATGCACTACTTCTACTTGATGAACGATAGTATGACCTAAATTATTGGTAATTTCCAGACATCAAAAAATGAGAAAAGTACTGAAAAAAATTTAAAAAAACTACCACTCACTTCTGTTCAACTAAAAGTGATCTAATCATGTTTTTAAAACGACAAAGGAAAAAAATTAACCACTTCTAGAGAGAAGTGGAATATGAAGATATAATTCAATTGTGTGTGCTGACACTGTAAACACAAATTATCCACCACTCTTAAATATTAAAAACTTTTGACCCTTAAATGATATACAAACTGTTTTTGAATTAAAATACAAAGTGAGAAACATACTTTTTGACAATACTTCGTTCGCTATCACTCCTAGATCTTTTCCGAGACTTATGTCTACTTCGACTACCAGAACGAGAACGTGAGCGTGCTCGATGTCGGCTGTTATATTTGTCATCGTCCTGAAAACAACCCGTATCAGTTGGATCAATTCTGCTACAAATACGAAAACATGAGTACCATTTATCTTTATGCTATGCTACCCCGCAACTTAATACTCTTGCACTCCCAGTGTACTATCTGCATTATATTCTCTAATTTTATCTTAAGATGGACAAAGACGCATGCAATAATGTAATGATCATAACTTACCTTCTCCAAATACAACTACTTTTTGTAAAACAATGAACATAAGTCTTTAGATAATGAATTATTTTCCACATGGTACAGTGGTTTATGTCGTAAAAGAATCAATTAAGCAATAAAAAGTAATTAATATACTTAGTATTAGCTATTAAAATATAAGAAACTTCGTTTCTTCATCATTTAACGAGAGAAAAAAGATTTTTATGGATGCAAAGAGTGAAGTACTCTTCCCCAGAACAGATCCACAATTCATTCTTGATCAGCGCTTAAAAACGTCCTCAAACTTTATTAAAAGCAATATCCTGCCAGCAATTGTAAGCACTACATCTAATTCAATGTTATCATCGTGCAATCATCGTTGTATCATTATATGAATTGGTTAGAGATGATTGCTGAATTCAGTCATGGCCTGCAATTTTGCCACGGAATTTGTGAATAAAAATAGGTGATCTTCAGGAGACCAGAAATGAAAACAGTAAGGTTTATAAGGAATAACTGGTACTATTCCTTGCTGTACCAGCATTTTTTGACATCTAAATGAATTGAAAAATAGAAATTTCATCTAATTCCTTAGTTAGGCTTTGTGAGTAGTGCTGCTATCGATGGTGAAAAGTGATGGCACTAACAGAATGTTAAAGTGAAACAAGAAATTTCATTCACTCCATCATCGCAAAGATAGGATAAAAGAGGAAAACTGTCGCCACTAACCTAATAATTTAAATGAATTCTCATGCACTCGAGAATGGCTAATCATTATAATAAAAAAGCAATGGCACCGTTCTAAAAGATATTTACTGAGCAAACAAGGAAATGGTATCAGATTTTTCCCTGTCACGTTGGAATAAGATTGAATCAATATTTTTTTTTCTTCAATTCATGAAAACAGTGAGCACATTTACATCACTAATGGAGTAACTAAAACCAAATGAATAGTGAGTGTCTTTTACGCCTGAAAACACCACTATCGCTGGGTCAAACTGAGTAAATCAAATATAACATTATAGACATTTGCAGAGCAAATAGATTTTAGAATGGTGTCAGAAACTTTTAAGACTCTGGCAACCTTTTGCCACAGCACAACGGATCAATTCGGAATTGACCACCTGTTTACATCCTTCTATACCTGACAAAATCAAAATGTGTCAATTTGATAGTATGGTTAAAATGAAAAAGGTATCAATTCATTCATCCCTCTAAGCAATGAAACATATTAATATAATATAACAAATAATTAAACTTAATGAAAATATGATGGTTTTCCAGCGGGCAAGATAGAGTTACTTAAAACAGCAACATTTACACTTACCAGCGCGACAATTTTTTTGCTGCGAAGTTGTACAAATCTGTAATATTATAAGCAAAATCACTATAATTCTTTTGTTCTCTTCATTTCAAAAATTGAAAACATGAATACAGAGTGCGCCCCATAAATTCCATGCAAGCTTCAATGAATATTTAATAAAAGAAAAACAGAAATAAAGTGTAAAAATTATGACGTCGTGCGCTGTTACGGAAATGAAAAGAACAGCATGCAAATAAATAAATAAGCCTTGAGTTCAAGGACAAATACAATATACGAACTTACATAAAGTATTTTTGCTGTCCAGTTCATAATGAAATTGCTAAGCACACAACACTATTACAGTTCGAAACGTGAAGGAGGTGTTCCGCTAGATCAATAAATTATAAAGGGGAAAAGGTGTATGCTACAAAACTAACAGTCGACTAATCCTATTCAAAATCCTTGTATGTTGACTGAATTGGGGTAAATTGATTGAGAAAACAGAATATAATAAAACTTTCATTAATGTACTTGACAGCCTACTGAAGAGCAAAACAATTTGAAAAATGGCGACACACTCAAAACTATGCACTGGTCTTTCAGGAAGATACTTCCTTCAGATAAGCCACAGTTTAACGGATCAAGCACAGAAACCTGTAATGAAGAAGGGATAAGCTGACTGAAATCGTAAACCAAAATTTAAAGAATTTCAGAAGGGAAAATTCAGCATCTAATTCTGCCCTTATGTAAATGCAGATTTCGGAGTTTTTCTGATGCCTGGCAACGAAAATAGTTACTGAAAATTAGAAATCATTCAGAGACTCGAACTTTAGACATTTAAACAAACCAAACTTCCAAAATTAAAGTTTAAGCCTAAAAAATGGGTAAGGCTTTTGAAAAACTAAACATTTAAGATTATAATATGGGGAGTCTCAACGAAAAATATTCCGAATCTCATAACAAGAGTCAGGACAAACTAATAAAAACTGATTGGCTTTTCATATCTGAATTACTTAATTCACAATACAAATGATATTATCAACTATCATTCAATTCAAAATGTATAAATCCTTCAAAAATTATTCAATGATTGACTGAAGACCTATTCAGTGAATGTGACCGTTGCTAAAAAACATCTTTTGATTCAAGAACGACAATTTCCATGATTTAGGAATCAGTGTTGACATTCTTTGCGCACTCAAAACGACATTATACAATGCATTATTAAGATGTCATCTTCATCAAAAAACCAAAAGAAATTAGTGTATCAAGTGTATGCTGTATAACAGCGAAAGCTACGAGTATAATCTCATCACCAAAATCAATAATTTTGTACTAAGCTTTTCATGAAGACAGACGAGACTGATTACTTCTCAAATCTTAAAACTTCTCGTTATTTCAGAGTCGATTAGTTTGTTTAGCCTTATTAGAAAGAAGAGGAAGTAAATGGAGAAGAAAAGTTTTCACTTTATTCACCATGGTCTAAAATAATTGACTTGAACAAGCAGGAATGGGATTGAATTTTGGAGGAATTTTTTCTAGAACCTTTTAGATGAAGACCAACAGACACAATTTGAAATGCTAAAAACAGGTAGAACATAAAATCAATCTAAATCTAAACAAATTAAGACCAATAAGACACTAGTTAGTATTAAACAAGCAAGGACATTTAGTTATTAATTTGAATTTATGATTTTTTGCTTTAAAAAAGTGAGATATTTGCAGTTTTTGAAGATTTTTGATTTGACACGCGAAGAAAAAGAAAAACAAACATTGACGCACACACAAGGAGCTTTCCAAGCAGACAGAATAGCATTTTTCAAACATGTGATATGCATTCACTGTTGCTGTTAAAGTCTTGCTTATGAATTTTTTACGCTAAGATTTTGAACCGGTTCTTTGGTTTGGGAGCAGAGATTAGTTGCTGTGAGAAAATAAAGGAAAATGGAAAATATGGAACTTACTCGTTGCCAAAATGCGTACTTTCGTTATCCCAACAATATGCGTTTAGCCTATATAGATTTCATCAAAATACACACTTCTACTTGTGTGTACTCATTATTATATTCCATTATGAGACATTATTTAAATTATATACTACAAATCATCGCTTGAAAAATAGAAAAGCGTTGCATGAAAGTGAATAACATTGCCCACCTTTCTTTCCTTTCGTTTTTCGACACTTCGATTTCGTGCTCGATCCTAAAAAATACAGTTTCAGTCCTGATTCATTTTCGATTGACAAAAGAACATTGATAAATCACAAAAAATCAAAGAAAAGGAATTAAAAATGAGTGCCATTTGAATATTTTACTGATTAAACAGTTTACCTTTCCCTTTTCCAAAGCTGGGGACCGAGTTTTTTCTGCCAGTTCACCATCTGTAATAATGTATATATCTTTTCTAGTTGAAAAAAATCATTTAGCTACATTTTAATCCAATCTAAGCATTACTTCCGTTTATCTCGAAGCTGCGAAAGAAAATGTAAGGTCCGTCAATATTCAGGAAATTTAAAATGAACTTGATATCACAGACATAGAAGTATAATGATGCTATAGTATTCCACGACTTTCATAAGTCAAAAGCAATGTAACCTTCTATGGGCATCAAATCTGGTGCATCTTTTTCAATTAATGTCTGGATTTTCTGTCGTATTTCTTCATCGTCAGCAACATTATCTTCATCTGCTGGCATTTCATCAGATGCTAAAGCTTCAGGTGGTAAATTTTTCTCCGCACGTTTTCTGGCAACATAATCTTTAACCATTGTTCGTGTTTTGTCGTCAATCTAGAAACTATGTGCATTACTTCATGACAAAAAAATGGAATTTAAAAAAAGAAAACTTCAGCATAATTCAAGACGGAATATACCGGAAATTGTTCGACACAACAAACTACTTTTTTTAACTTCCACTCCGACTTCGAATAACATGGCTTTCCAACGTAGTTAAGTTTTACTCTAAGTGTACTTATCGATTTTATTTGCCTTTTCTTGTTTCTTTGTATTTCCTATGTTTTGTTTCTGCATAAAAATCTTCATTTCTGTATTAAAAACTAACTTTGACTACTAATTTTTTCTCGGCAAGTGGATAATCATGCAAAATTCGTAAAGCTCGCATTGTACCAAATGGACTTTCAAATTCACAAAAACCAAATGCTTGAAATTTTCCATTTGAACCTTGAATGCGTTTCCATGTTGCAACTGCACCACATTCCTTCAAATTTTCGAAGATTAAGTATCCCATTATAAATTGGAATCAGTCGAAGCCAGACTTTCGACTTTCATCAATGATTTTTTGAATGGTTACAAACACACGAAGAAACAAAAAATCAAGTGCAGTATTCGATAACTACCAAGAACTCATAAAGCTGCGCTTGCTACTTAACAATGTGCTATATCAACAGCGTTCTGAACTATCGAATATTTACTTCTTTTTATATTTGCTCTTCTTTGCTTGGTCATACATTATTTATAAACTAAAAATTGTTATGAAGCATATCTACCGTCAAAATAGCGCGTATTAGTTCGTTTCCACATTTTTCATTTATATTACCAACAAAAACTGTAGTAACAGGCGGTTTTTCAGAGGGCTGAAATAAAAGTTCATTGAATTTATGTAAGAAAAAACTAATAAAATGTAGTTGTTCATCTTATTTCATCATAGAATAGAGTATCAAAAAATAATTGAAATACCTTAGGTTGTGGCGCGGGTGGCGCCGCCATTCTTTGTGCAGCAGCTGCAGCCATGATAGGATTAGGCATAAAATAGGGATTTGGAAAAGGCACTGAAACTAGTAATACTAAATTGAAATGAAACATTCATTTGAATTTATTAAAAATTTTGATTTGAATCAGTGGACAAATTATTTGTTATCAAATTATATTATTACAGGTTGTTCAAAAGATAAAAGGAATGCGAAAACGAAAAAAACTTCAACGTAGGAAGATATTTCTGAATCAAAATTTAAAATCTGAATGACAGTAATAACTGGAGCTTGCTGTCAGTTTCTATAAACAGTCTGCTTCCATCGTGGAAGAACGAAGTTCATATGATAACTGGAAAATAATGCCTGCTATACTGCCACTTCAGTTACGATGATAAGAATCAAACTATTATCTAAGAAAATATCCTATGACATCGAACAACGAAACGGTCTTTGGACCCTTTCGACATTCCCGACACTGACAAGACTGAATACGTTGATTCTTTGAGTCACAATTTAGATGGATAAACAAATCCATCTAAACCTGGATAACAGGTAAGCTAGATATACTAACAGGATTAGTGCTTTTTTTAGGAAAGAAGATAAAAAAGCGAATATACTGACCTAAGCAGAATTATGCTACGAGCAAAACAAATAAAAATCTGCCACATGTTGCAGTGATGAAAGTAATGTCTGATAATATTTGGAATCTCAAAAAACTAAGAACCACTAAAGTATAATCTTAATAAACGGTTTCATGGCTTCTAATGGAGGCTGAGCAGTAGTTCATTCTAATACTCAATCATTATGAGGTATCTTTAAAATGATTAAAGACACTTCTTTAAATAGTTTTTATGGCCAAGTAATCCCTTTGTAAATCATACTAAAGCTGACAATAAGACAATCATTTACCATTATGGTCATTGCTTGAACGGAACTCCTAAAATTAAATCATATGTTTCAAAAACATACTCATTGGTGTCATTTGTGGAATTTGAACACCATAAGCTGGAATCATACCAGGAAATCTTGGTGGTACAGCCATCGCAATAATAAAACTAGTACAATTTCTGAAAAAAAATTATACTAATTACAAATTCCAAAGTTTTTTAATTTTCCACCACTTGAAAAGGTAGAGTAAGGAAACTCAGAAAAAATAACCCTCCAACGGAACCCACAACGTAGTACCTCCGAACCGAAATCTTCGGAGCAACCGCTTTTGAAAGGAACCTTCGGAACTACTGCTCCCAGATGGATCGCAATACAGATGGAAAAAATGGCGTAGAATGCCAGGACTCGCTGTACTACTCCTTTTGAAACGGACGGGAGGCAATGTGCAATTGGGCGATAAGATCTATCTCTTAGAGATTACTGGGACTTTAGTTATAGTAAATGCTGTTTTTTTGGATTTCGGTGCTTCAAAAAATACTTTCATGCTTGAGGATCATAATCGATAACCTCCAGGACCTTTTGATATTTTAGCTTTACTTATTAGCTTTCACAGAATTTCATCGGTCTCTACAGAATCCTTATGGCTGAAGCGGAAAAAGCTAAGGAGAGCGGTGCATCAACATCGAAGGTTCTAATTGCTGGAAAAGACCCGAAATGGTGGGATATTTCGACGTTTTCGAAAGAGGATAATCCTAACGGACTAATCTGCGAATCTTCATTTGCTATTCTCTTCCCAAAGTATCGTGAGAAATATATCAGGTTTGACAATTGTGTTTCAATTGAACTTAAAATTAATACCGCTCAATGTTGATCATTTCTTTGATTCATTAAACTGAGGTTTTTCGTTATGTATTTTTTGAAGTTATAAAGAGCATAGTCTCATAAATTAGCATTGGGCTGAAAAGTAAACATCCTTTGAATTATACATCCTTTGAATTCTGGAGAACTTTGAGTTATGTTGTGTTACTTTTTCGATAGAACTATTTTCTTAAAACTTTTGTAAATGATTAATCAAACCACTGTCATTTCAGAGAGTGTTGGCCATTGATACAAAAGGCTTTTGAGGAACATTTTTTAAAAACTGAATTGGATGTGCTGGAAGGAACAATGGTGGTCAAGACGACTAGAAAAACATGGGATCCATATATTATAATAAAAGTATGATTTATTCTCATGTCATTGATTTGGCTGATTATCTATTAGTGATTTACAATCTGTTTATTCAGATTCGAACATTCAGGAATGTTTTAGGCTCGTGATGCCTTGAAGTTGATTTCAAGAAGTGTACCATATGAACAAGCAATACGAGTTCTTCAAGATGACACTGCAAGTGAAATTATTAAAATTAGTTCAATGGTGGCAAATAAAGAGCGATTTGTTAAGCGTCGTGCAAGACTGATCGGTAACGAAGGAGCAACACTGAAAGCAGTTGAACTGCTTACTAAGTGCTATATTATGGTTCAAGGAGGTACGGTGGCAACTGTTGGCCCATACGAAGTTTGTTTTCAACTCTTTATACTTCTCAGCGCTCTTCAAATTGCCTTTTTTTTTTGCTCACTAATTATTTTGGACATAATATTTTGTTGACAAGTAATTATCGAGTAACAACTTGACCGAACTTGTGTTGAACATCGGGTAGCTCTGTAATCTAATAACAAATTTTGCTACTGATAAAGATTTGCCTTTCCTTTACTCTGATTGCAAAACAAGAAGGCATTTTGTATGAACATGATTAATGCTGTTTTGTCATGGTTTTTAGGGATTGAAAGATGTTAGAATGATAGTGGAAGATTGTATGAATAACATACACCCTATCTATAACATCAAAACATTGATGATTAAACGTGAATTAATGAAGGACGAAAATTTGAGAAATGAAAATTGGGACCGCTTTTTACCAAAATTCAAAAAGAAGGTATGAACTTTTGAATGTTGATTACTTCCTGTATTATAAAATATGACAAAAATTTTGCAGCTTTGCTGTTTCTTCATTTACCATCAGAAAATTTATCTGCAGGTGCAACCTTCTCAATCAACAAATCAAGCAAAGAAGAAGAAAGCTGCGCGGTGGAAGAAGAAATCTGAATATACACCATTTCCTCCTCCACCTGTTATGAGCAAAGTAATTTTATTCTATAATTAGTCAATGTAGGGTAGTAAAGGCTATACATTTCCCTGCTAATTTTAAGAACAGGAAGCAGTTTCTTAGTTTACTTCAGGCATAAAACTTTAATCGTAATTAGTCGTCCGGGAGAGAGCTCGCAATTGACATTTTTTTGTCACTGCTAGCACTTTACTTAAAATTGAGCTTTAGATTGATAAGCAGCTTGAAAGTGGAGAATATTTCTTAAGTAAACGGACGAGGCAAATGGAAAAACGTAACGAGAAACGGACAAAACAGGTAATTTTGTTGTCATAAGCTTTGATTTATTATACTTTTGATTTTATTATATCTTAAGAGTTTTGATTTATTGTCGATTTTTGGAGACTTTTTTTTCATATTTAGAGTTTACAGTAACATTGCATTGTACAAAAAAAATGCAGAATTTACTTTTTCTGGTTATTTTAGATTGAAAAAACAGCTGAACGCAGGAAGCAGCGTGCATCAGAATTTACACCTCAAGATGAAAAAACAAGGACTAAGACTAGCCATAAACGAATTAATGAAACTCCTGTTGACATTGAAAATTTAAAGAAAAAGGCCAGAAAGGCAAGCGAATAATGACTCCTTATTGACAAATTTGTTCACCATCTTAAGAGTTTTGATTTATTATGGTATACACTTCGCAATAATAAAAGTTTTCGTGCTTTTTAATGCATAGATAATATCTTCATTCAATTTAATGGTATCGTTACCTTATATGCCGTCCTGTGAAATTTGACGTTTGTTCAGCTATCTTTGCTTCTTAAATTAATATCTTTGGGCTTGTTTCGGCTTTTTACCTTTGGCATAAACATAAATAAATGATTTCGGCAGTTGCTTGCATGTCCGAATATTGGAAATGTGTCGGGAACTGTGAATTATTGAAATTAGAAAATTCGTGTGCAAGTGCCATTGGCTCTTGTTCACACAATAATCGCACGACAATTTCCAATTGAGTTTACAATAGTTTCCTTTTTCATATTATTTTACTTCCAGAAATTAAAGCTGGTTTCAATTTCAAAAATTTAGTCGCTTCCTAATGCTTGCCACATTTTTGTCGCACGAATTATTACAGTACTGTTTAGAATCCAGAAATCCAGTTTCCTAAAATTTTAAGCATGGCCAAATGTGTCGTATTTCTGATTCGCATCGTCAGGATGTTTTGTGGCAGTTTTATGGCAGCGCTAAACATCCTGACGATGTTCGGTCAGTTAAAACGCTAAACAGAAGTTGTGTAGCTGATATATTTCTTTTCAAGTTATTCTGTAAGTACTACATTAATGTGTTTATGGCCCAACATTATTGATTATTGAATTTAATTTAGTTTGAAGTTTGAACATTATTGAATTTAATTTAGTTTGAAGATTCGCTATTAAACCATAAAAACTGATATTCCGGATTAGGGCGTGTTTTCCGTCACTGTCGAAATTCCGCTAACGTCCAGTAAATTGCTAGCTCCGAGGTCAGTTAATTCCTTATTTTTGGAAACATTTGCATGAATTAATGATTACAGTGCTGCAGTTTCCAACAGTGTCACATGAATTTTGCCTTTTTTTTAATAAATTCAATTTGTCCTTCTAAATAAACATTTTTTGCATTTCCCAAAAGTTCTCGGGAATGCAAATAATTTTCTTCATATTAATTTCATCTCACTCTAAGTGTCCCTGAAGAAAGGCAGGAAGGGATGAGTGAGAGAAATGATTTTTCTTCTTTTTGCAGGAGCAATATTTTGAAACATTCTTGACAGCCTGAAATCTTGAAATCTTGTAGAAGCGCATGAATTTAAGATTGTCATAAGGATGGTTTATCTATGCTTTTTATATATTTTTGAAGTTAAAATGAAATTTTCAAAAAGCAGAACATAATGGCCTGTTTCGTAGTGTGAAATTATCCCGCTGTTTCCGAAATTTATTTTCTGATTTTAGATTAAAATTGATATAAGCGTTTTTTTTTTTAAATTTCAATGATAAATATTTAACAATAAATACTGAAACAATAGTTACAAATTAGGATCGGAAAGAGGTTTTATCTGTTGAAGGTAATATATCAAAGTTAATTGTAGTGTGAAGAGTGAAAAATCAATTCTCGATTTGATTTAGGATAATATGATAATGGGGAACTTAATTTTATTTATTCTTTTGGAATTTGTGATAGTGTGAGGATGATATGTTGGATTTCAGATTCCTCTCAATTTTCTATTGAATTCATTTGAATTTAATCTGAAACAAATTCATTGTCTTTTATTTTGAAAATAATGATTTAATCATTTCCATTTTTTTTGTCAGATTTTATTTTGTTTTATTTCTAAATCATAAAACTAAGAATTAATTAGGAAAATATTATTTATTAATGATTAAATGACAATTCACTCTCCACAAATAATGTTTATTTGTTTCACTGTAAAATTCTTTCCATTCTCTTGGATTTGCAAAATGCTAATTAATTAGTTAAGTATTATTATTTTAATGTTTTCCTCTCTAACTCATCATATTAGCATTTATTTGAAATATTTAACTTTTTTAAATCTTTTTTTAAAGCTAATTTTTCAATGAATTTTATAATTTGTTAATTTTATTAGAATGCTTACCTTATCCTATGAAAAAAGCTTCACACAACACTGCTTGTAATTCATATTTAATTAAGAGTTAATTGTTTTGACGCCTATTTGTCTTTTTTCTCAACATTTTTATTTCAAATTAACTTATGTCATTATTGACTAAGTTTACACAATGGAATGGATGATGTAATTAAATTTGAATTTTTGAAATGTTTGAAGAAATGAAATTCTCAGAAAATTTGGCCTGAGAAACTCACGAAAATATGAAAAGATTAATAATGATTAAGCAGTATTAAGAAGTAAAGGAACAGGCAAATGGTTTCAAATAATTAATGAGAAAGCTACAGGATAACTGAATGAACAGGTGGCAAGAGAAAAGCTTAGAAGAGCCATTTGTCGATGCTTCTGCACACTTTTGCAGAAAATATAGTTTTACGTAATTTGAATCCTTTCATGGATGTTTATGAATTTGAAGAGATGCAAATTTTCACAATTGGAAATATAAAGGAAGTCAAAGTAATTCATCTGAATTATATAAATTGCTAACTCAAAAAATTTTCACTTCTTCGCTTTCATTTGATTTTACTCAATTTTATTGAAATTTCCAACAATTAATTTGTCATCGAAAAATAAACTGTAATTTTGAAATTTGAATTTAATTTATCTGTAATAATAATTTTTATCAAAAATAATTGCAGAAATTACAACAAAATTACTTCTTAATATATTATTCATTGCATGAAATATTCTGATTTATGATTGCAATGAAAAGTATATATTTGAAGAGAGATAGATATCTCTGTGATGTGTTTATTTGTTTGTTTCAATTTCATACTTATTATTATCCCATCTATTTCCTTCAATTTTACTCATACAAATTGATCTAAAAATACGTTTATACCTAAATGTGTGAACTTTCACCTTTATCGTATTGAGTAGTATTGACAGATTTTTTTAGGAAAAAAAGGTTCAAAAAGTTTTAAAGTATTCCTAAATATGCTTGAAGAGAAATTTAGAAATTAATAAAAATATAATTAAAAAGTATTTGTATTCTTTTTATGATAACTTTTACAATTTTGTTTGAATTTTGTAAGAATAAATTTAGGAAAAAGCTCATAATCAAACATTAAAGTTTAAATAAACAATCGATATTTACACAACAAATAGTTTAAATTTACCATTCTTTGCGAAATTTCACAAGCTATTTTGAAACAATTTTCTTATCTGAAATTCAAAGCTGAAGCAATGAATTCATGGATCGTATCAGAAACGATCAGATAAATATTTATTTGATACAATTTGCATTCGCTGTCAACGTTGCTCTGAGTCCACCATATGGGAAAAGATTAGATCGGAGGATACCAATTTGTTCGATAATAAAATCATCCCACCACGTTAGTTTAACGATTTATCCGGCCTGTCATTTAAGTGTTAATTGACATCCCTCAAATAATATTTCTGGAAGATTGACAGCACGAACAGTTTTGTAAACAGTTTTATTGTGAGAATATATACGAAAATCAAAAAATAAAAGCGAAAATTTTAGGCTTTAAAATTTGGAGAAGATGAAATTTAACTTTAAAGACAAGCAAAAATTTTCTTTTATTTTAGTAATAATCGAAATACCATTGTCTGATAATAAAAGATAGTAGCGTTCTGAGAAAAATCCACATGTAATTAAAAAATAATAATTAGCTTTTTGAGCTTCTCAATAGATTTTCGCTTAACATTACATTTATATCTTTTTGAGATAAGTTCGAATTTGTTAGCAATAATCGAGCAGTCTAATGATGGATGTTTAAGCTATCCGATGAAGGAAGATAATTAGTCTGTCAGTACTGCATTCAAGTTTAGAGAAACTTTTTCCAAGCCTTTAATTATTATTACGTCTGAAGAAATTAAGATTATTATCAGATTTTATATTTATACGTAGCTTTATTTCAAAAAAGAGCAAACAAAGTTTGCACTGATCGTTATAGCACTTCTATTTCTATTGTTTCTTTTGCCTTTTTTTGAAATGAAAGAGCAATGAGTGTGAAGACAAATAAGCTTTCGCTAAAGTAGGAAGAAGGAAAGAATTATGATGAAAAAGAATTTCGTAGTAGATTTCCTGCAATGCAACTTTTTAAGCAAATTAGAGATTGATATTTTGGACCTCCTACGATTACTTAGCATCAAAGAGTAAGGGTGGTCAGTTATTTAGCATCCAAGAGCAGGAGTGGTCAGTTACTTAGCATCCAAAAGCAGGGATAGTTAGCCACTTGTGCAGAATAAAACAACTGACAAAAATCATTTAATGGCAGTATAATCATGGAGAACAAATAAATATATATATATGAAGATTAAAAGCTATGATCCAAAGACCTCGAAGACAGAGATGATCAAAGCAAAAGAAAAAAAGACCGTATTTCAATTATACGAAATCACGGAAATATTTTCATAACGTCGAGAGCGATCGGTCTTCTATAAAACCAACACAGAAATACCAGGAAATTTTTAACTCGTAGTATGTTGCAGATATATTTTCGACACATTTCGATCAAGATTAAATATGTTTTAACCTATTTGGAATGATGGGGTTAAAATTCGCTTGAAAAAAATCTCAAAAATCTGCAAGTAAAAATAGATATGCAAACTCTACTATAGTCACACATATAGTCACAATTTGCATGCATGCACATGTATAATCTCGTCGATTTTCAACGATGTCATAATTGTGGCACATTGTGATTCTGTTTCTTCATTAATGATCGATGCAAACTGAAAAAAATATTGATTAATTGATCAATTAATTCTTGTTTGATCTTTTTACAATCATTCCTCTTTTTTTTTGTATTTTATAAATGTTATCTCATAATTTAGAAATGAGATTGGAGAAATTTTCTAACCGGAGAATGGATTAAATGGAAAGGATTGGTTGGCACTTATAAGCAAGGCTCTTTCAATCAAGGCTAATTAATGGCCTTGATATGCCTTGACGTACTCATCGTCTAAACGAACTTACTCTTATAGCGTTTGTCACTTATCCACGCTTAATTATTTATATAAATAAAGTATTAAGTCCATATTTTATAAAGTTTTTTTGATATTTCTTGATGGATTAAGAAAGGATAAATTCGAAATAATAATTTAAAATTAATGAAATTTGACTTTTTTGTAATTTCATCATAAAATTCTGTAGGCATAAGCGTTAATGTAACAGTCATCGGCGCATTGTCCAAGCACGATTTCATCGCTTTATTCTGAAATAGAAATGAACAAAATTAGTGAATGTTAACTTTTCTGAACAATGATAAAAAGTACTGGCCATTTAATCATATTAGGCATATTAATTGTGTTCTATATCTGAAGCTGATTTATATAAATTCTCTGTTTATTTGCCTATCTTGTTGACAAGAAGAGGTTAAAGTTCATGTTTTGTCATCAAGTTTAAAAAGGAAAGGCTAGATTGCAAGTAAACAAATATTACGACTTAATCATTCATTCTTTTTCAGTTAATTAAAATTTCTTGCATTTTAATTGATTTATGAGCAATTTAATTGAAGTGTTATATAGAATAATAACCTTGAAAGCCATAACATTTCGTCCATCAATTTCAATAATTCGTTGATTGATAAGTAATCCATTACGACTAGCGCTTGTTTCTTGCATCACTGCTGTGATAAGATTATCTTTAAATGAGAATCCTAACAAGCCAGCTGCATCTTTATGTAGTGTTATCATGCTGGCCAGAGGTCTAAAGTAAACTATTAAAATTTTGTGAAATCTTTAAAAAATATTTTGAAAAATTTGAAACTATCTTATCAAATAAGCTATGAATAATAATAAAAATGGAAACATTTATTTGAATATCTCATGCCTAATTAAAGAGTATTGGTTTTTCTTTAATTTTAACTTCAATATTGAGATCCATTGGAATTAATTAGGGCAGATCTGATAATACGTCATATCTTCATGCTCCCAATAATAAATTAGGCATAATTAATTATCAATTAGCTTCTTATTTTCCACGAAAACTTCAACAATGTTTTGAAAATAAGGCTCTTAGGTGCAACTGTATCGCATAAACTATTATCCTTTTAATAGTATGGACAAATAGGTCATTATGTCATTGGTCAGCAATCATTATAAAAAGTGATCTTTACACTCCTCCAGGCTTCTTATAATAATTATATCGCATACTCTTCCATCAATATGAATAAGCCTTTTGTATTCTACTTATCTTTTCCAAAAATAGCAATGCTTCCATACTTTCCTTTAACAATTTCTCCTATCTTTTCTACACATTATTCCTTACTATAAAAGATTTGACTTATCTTCAGAACAGTAAATAACATCAATCAGTTTATCAGTGGCGTTGTGTAGAGAAAAATTTTTAATGATAAATATTTAATCTTGAATAGATACATCTCCTGTATGTGTTATCGATAATATTACTTAGATATAAGAATAACTAAACAACTTTCGCCTTAATAAGCCAGAATTGTTCTATAATCTCTGTCATTCTTATCAGATCTCTTAGAATAAACATTTCTTCAAAATAATCAGCACTATCAAAAGATAACAACCATTGGAGTTAAAAAATAAATAGCGGTAATGTGCTATATTAAACTGCACTGTCATTTATTTAGAAATTGAATGCTATTGAAAATTAGTGCGATTACGAAAAATTTCATTTTTCAAAATTTCAATTAATATGCCTCTTTCCTATTTTTTAAAGAGAGTAACACTCTTTACAAATATTATTTTAATTGGTTGTACCTGTCTCTGAGAATAAGAATTATTGAATCTTTTGATTTCTTCATCATATTCATTACCTGAAAACATAAAATTTATTATAGGATAAAATTACTTTTTAATATGTTCTAACTCTCAAAAGGAAAATGTAATAAAATAAAACAAATGACTTTTTGTCCGGTCATTCCAACCACTTCTGTACCATTTAAATTAAGCAACTGATCACCAAATCGTATACCGGCAGTTGCAGCCGGAGAACCTTCCGTTACTAATTGAACAAAAATACCCTAAAATTGAACAAAATGATATTTTCACCAATTTATATACATAATGCTCTAAATAAAATTTACAAAATAGAAATTTCATTTAATAATTAAAAATTTATAAAAATAAAAAATAAAAATTTTAATAGCCAACGCTAAGAATTGAGTTTGCATCAAAAATTTCATGGCTATTTCGCAATTTTATTTGCTTATTAGGTGTTTCAGATTTAAGACGTTTAGGAAAATATTGGAATTAAACCAATCAACAAATATCAAAGTATCGTTTCGATCGATTAATTAGTTTCAAACAAAACAATCATACATTAACCCGATGAAAATACCTGATTGATGGCTCGCATCCTCAATCCATACTTTTTACCTTTGATACGATTAAGAATCACTTTACGAATACCATGAGTAAGATTAGCTTTAGCGAGACCGGAACATTGCGACGTAATGGGTGCGATAATGCGTTCATTGTCTAGTAAGGTCAATTTATTTAACATATACGGTTCAATCGTTGCTAACTGTGGAAGATGAGAATAGGGAAGATGCATTGCTGTTATTTCTGATAATTGTGGAGATGGTTTCTGGAAGGAATCAAAAATTTTACAAATTTCTCGAATTAAATTTTGTTTATTTTTAAAATAAGAAAACTAATTAAAGGATAAAAATTAATCACTGATAACTTCCAAGAAGTATTATTTCCTTTTTCTTGTGATTGAATAAAATTTCAATCTACCATCTAACAGTTAGTTATATGTATAGAATAAAATTAAAAGATAGAAAAGTTTAAATCTTACATGCACAGATGCATGCTGCGGTTGGGTAATACTTTCATAATAAGATGGCAGCGATGGATATTCTAACATTTCTGGTGGCGCTGCAATTTTTTGGAAAGAAAATGAAAACAAAAACAATTATTATCCAAAAGTAATTATTAGTGTTAGAAAAATTTTCTGCATTCTCTCAAATTTTAAATGATATTTATCTGTTTCTTTTCGTCCCTTTCTATGTAAACTAAAATGAAATGAAAAATTGTTTTCTCTTTCAGTTTAAAATATTCAAAATAGCAAAGATCATTCATTATTGATCAAGTTCTCTTTCTATAGACTAGAAAATATTCTTTCAAGTATTTGAAGTTTTAATCTAAGAAATTAAAAAAGTAATGATTATCAAAATTTAAGATTAAGAAATTATATAAACTTGCCGATATGATGTTTACATCATTAAATCAATTCAATTAATTATATTACACTGAATAATACATAATCTTTTCTGTTCGTATTATTCAACAATATTTGACACTAATCAAACAATGTAAAACAAAAGATCAGTTCTTTAATAAATGGTAAAACATTTGCAATTTGTATTAATATTAATGTAATGCAAGTGCTATATTATGAGTACCGATCTGATAACAATATCATTGATATTTTTTATTGCTACTATTAGTGAATCTGACAGTTAACTATCAGTAAATCATGCAGTGAATTATGATTGCCAATAAGGCCTAAAATTCAAATTTTTAGTTTGTTTGATTACATTAAATTTCTCTCTCGAAAAATTTATGCAATCCTTTTTTTTGCCTCTGTTGTAAATAAGAAAATGAATGAGAGTAATCTTTAGTTTTTTTTTCTTTGTAAAATTAAAATTGAAATAGTAACTCTGACATAATTAATATCTCCAACATTTTAATTAGCAGAAGATTGCTGCCAGTTGAAAGCTGAGTTAAGGATGCAATTTAAAGTAGCTGTTTAATGAATGAAATGAAGGCAAAAAAATGAATACATATTTTATAAGTTGTAATAAATGCTACTAAGACGTGTGTAATTCAAATTGCACAAATCATTCATCATTCCATTTCAGTTTCTTGCCAAATTATTACTGCAATCTCACTGATTATTTTGTTTCTATAATTCATAAATTTAAATCTTAAAATTTAAGATTATATATTAGAATAGTAGATATTATTGAAAGTACTAACGAATAGGAGAATTTGATTCATAGAGAGGAGCGGATGGTTCTGCGTGAGAACGGAATGGCGGAGCATCGTGACCGGAACAGCTACTATCATTTTGCTATAAACTTAATATTATTCGAAATCAAGATTACGAAATAAAGTTTAGCAAAAATTTGTGCGATTTTGTTGAAATGAATAACTTGATTAACCATTAATTATTAAATATAACTATTCAATCGATTTCGCCGATAGTGACTGTACATGCAGTTCAGCTGGCAATTATCAATTCTGTTATATTTTAGGAAATTAGCATCGAAGGAAAGACATTTACCGACGATGATGAATCCTTGGCTTATATAACTAATATATTTATGAATATGACCATCTATTCATTTATTTACAACTTTTATTAATTTCTTTATAAAATGCTTTTTGAAGCTTTTCAAGAGCCGTAAATTTCAGTTGATTAAATTCTTGGCTGATATTTTACAAAAAAGAACTGCAAAACTTTGTAATTCGGTATAATTTATTAATTAGAAAATGATGAAATTCAAGGTCATAATGTGAATGCCTTCAAATAGAGATATTTTTTAACGAAATGTATCAAATTATAGAACAAACCGGTATCCGACAAAGGCAATAATTACAAGTTCGAAGAAAAATTTCATTTGCTTCACTAATTTCATTTTTAAAGAAATTTTTAGATATTGCTCCCATGTTTGTAGTTTTAGCATGGAGAAATTTTAAAAATGATTCAAATTGATCAAAAATATTAGATCCTTCATTCCATAGTGTTCACATATTGCTAATTTACTAATTAATAATTAATGTAATCATAATTAAACCATTAATTTAATGCTGCCATCTAAAGATTCAAAATTTTGAGTTTTTAAATTTAAAAAAAAAAAGAAAAAATGCTACCTGATATTGATATTGATCAACTAATAGGTCCTCAAGGGTTGGATACAATGACATTTTCTGCAGGTAAATAGTATTATTGATTGAATATGTTTTCAAACAGCTAAATAGTATTATTGATTGAATATGAATATGTTTTCAAAATGAACCAATGAAATTCATCAAATTCATTAAGACTATAAAGTAACGAAAAAAACAATGAAGAGAATTTTTCTCGGACTTCGGTAATTTGTATGATCTTAAAGAATGGCTGATCAAAGTAATTTCCGATTCCAAAACAGAATCCAACTTCTTACTCATCAAATGAACACTTTGACCTTTGTAATGATTTGCTTAGTACTTAACTATTTCATTCCAAACATTAATTTTAGTAACATATCCCCAAAAGTGTAGAAGATCTAATTAATACACTAACAGGCATATCTCTGATGCAAAAAAATAGAAAAAAATTATTAAAAAAGTGTAAATTCCAAATTTTGAGGTAAATTAAAAATCTTCAACGTTTTTTTTGAACGATAATAAATATTCGAGTTAAATTTGGGAAAATTTTCGAAACAGAAACTATTCAGAGAGCAATATAGTAGAAATAACAAAATGAAATAAAATCGAGAATCCGGTCAAATCGCCCATTGAGTAAACAGTTGAAAGCAATTGTCGGCTTAGACCGATGGGTAGTAACAAGTTGTAGTGAGACGATTGACCGATCGACTGACTAACTAACCGACTGATTGAGTGCTCAGATGCCAAATAGAGGAACGATTCATTTAGAATCGGATCGTGGACAGACAAATAAAATGGACAGAGAATGAACGGGTAAGCAAATGAAAGGACGATGAATGAAAGAAAGGCATGTAAATAATTGTTGTATTGTGAGTAACCAGGCATAGTTCATCTTTCATAAAAATTATTTTGAATATTGTAACTGTGAAAAAAAAAATAAAATAGGCCTTTTGAGGACTGAACTTCAATAATTATTGTTAGCGCTTTATGGCTTTTGATCTAGGTAAAACAATGATAAATTATGGTCAATTATGTCAAAAATTGCAAACTAGAAGGATAAATCATTATTGCTTTGCAATTATATTCTTTGCTCTTTAAATTTCATCGGATTCTTAAAACAAATTTCTCAAAAGTAACGAAATTATGCATCGATTCAAAAAATTTTCTCTTATTTAAATATTTTTACAAATAGCTAAATTTAATTTAATTAATAAATAGTTTATGGTTTAATTATTTATCGTTACAGTAGCCAAAATTGATTTTCATTCAACAAGAAAATACGATTTGCTAAAGAAAACGAATGAAAATTTTGTAAAAAAATCAATAGGATAAATAAAAAGTGCCACTGATCGTCAGCGAGCAAATAACTAGAAAATGATATGTGTGTGTGTGTGTATGCGTGTGTCTGTTGTGTGTGTGTGCCATGTTGTTCCAGCAAACGATCATCAAATGAAAATGATGGTGACAACGGCGACTGCGCAATGGTCCACTCTTTTTAATGGGGAATTAAACCGTTACACATATATGTGAAGTATATACAGTTTTGGAAGAGATTGTTTCAATTACAATTATCACTGTCAATTATTTTCGCTTTTGTAGTGAAATTATCTGATTTAATTAAATATGCAAGTGCGTATGTTAATTTTATACCATTAAATGGCTACCGTATCTTCATTTTCAAAAAATGAAATTAGACAAAGCATTTAAAATTGGAACTGAAGTTTTGAAAAAGTTAGACATTTGATCATTTGTGAAGTTTAAAGAGATTCGTATCATGGAAATGTTGATGATATCATTGAACAGATTGATTATCAGATTATTCTTAATGCATTATTTGTTTTACAAAAATCCATTAATAGTATTATTAAACAACTTAATGTTGATCAAGTGCAGATGAGGAATCGAAAAAAGTGTGCTAATGATCAGTGATAAGGGAACAGTTTGGTTAACTATCGAAATGCTAATTGGAATGTAATGAATGAAAAATAGTTGTTGCCTAAACTTCATTTCGACTTCTTTAATTCAATTGAATATTCATAATATAAAATAAACTGACATGACAACTTAGTTCAAGTTCTAATTTTTTTATATTACTGTCCTTGTGCTTCGCATTTACTATTTTTTGACATTAAATCGATGAGAGACATTTTTGCAACAGATTACTGTTATCAGTTTCGAAGATGAAACCTTCTGATCTTTTTTATTGACAGCCAGAGATTTGCTAAGGTATATGTGCTATCGATACTCATCTTCTAAAGTGTTTCATTTATATAGTGAAGGTGATAAATTCTCGACTATTTTCGCAAAAAGGGAACCCGAAATAATACTACTACTACTGATAACGACAACTACGCATTAAACTATCTTAACAACCTCTCATTAATCTGTTGTTATTCTTAATAATAATCTTAAATTTAATGTTGTTCTGAGAAAAGTTTATTTTTGGCTAAGTTCTGAATTATGAATTATCCAATTTTTAAAAAATTGAATGATTTTAGTCAAATATTCTTCATTTGAAACTTTTATTTTTCTTTTAAATTTCCATAAATATAGATCATATTATTAGACAATTCAAATTTTATTTCACATTTCAAACCGATTAACAATGACAGCTGCTAGCTCACACGATTTACTTATTGCCTCAACCAAATATTGTCAAAGTTCGCAGCAAAGATGTCTGTCTAATTTGTCACAAATTTTTGCTTGATTTTTAAATTTCGATATCTTACCTTTCGTCATTTACAAAAAAAATGCTTACAGGGAGATTTAATAAATTTCATGACATCTTATCAAAAATTAGAAACAGTGGAACAACTGTTCTAAAAACACTGTACAATTTTTTAAAACGAACGTTAACTAAACATGGTATTTTCAACCGCTTGATCTACAATCATTTAAATTCTTAAAGTGATCTTAACTAATGCCTAATCATATGAAGCAAAAAGACGATACGAAGCAAATATTCTTTGCAATATTCTGACCAGCACAAGGACTGAATGTCACTGTGAATTGTTTACATTTATCATCAAACAGCTTATCATATTATATATTCATTGTCGCTGTGAATCCGTATCACTTCCTTCCTTCTTTTATTCATGACTTATGTATGTTTGTGAAGAAAAAGATATCCTTCATTGCCACAGTTCTCTCTAATCTACATTCCCTCAAGATATATTATTCAAAAATTTTAATGACGATCTTGAAATTAATTTTGAAGGGTCGATTATTCAATCAAACACTTAAAATGCTTGCATCTCGAGATATCTTCCTTGACGGATAATTGGGAGTAAAATTAGGAGAAAGTAATCAAAGAGTCATTTTCCTTCAAAATAAAAAAAATTACCGACTTCTTCCAAATTTTCATTTTTAGTTGCGCAGGAAGATAAAATTTCATTTTCCTACATCCAGCAATAGATAAGAATTTTTGATCTTTTAGAATCATCATGCTACTACTGCGCTACTTTAAAAGAAACTTTTCCAATTCAGTACACACTGAAATTTTAGCTTCAGAATCATTCCAGTCTTGTTAGATGCGCTTCCGCTATAATAACCAGATTCTAAATATTAACTATATTTTGTATTCTTTATTATTTTACTACTGCACATTACACAGAGAAATGTGACATGAAAGGCAATTCAACCCTTTCTGAGCAAAATCTTCACTCCTGAAATTATTAAAGAATAATTTAGCAAATTGGGAATAAAGTTCATTCATAACTTTCAAAACAAAACAAACCAACTCAAGAAACAAGGATAACCCAATGAAAAATAACAAAAGAGTACGAAGAAAACAAATAAATAAAAGGAAAACTGGAAATATAAAGTACTTACATAGCAAGTAGTAGCAGATGTAAGTCGAAATTCAAAAGCAATTCCATATTTCTATAAACTGAATTGTTTACACCTATTTTATTTCACCAAAAAACACACATATATAGCTATACACATATATAGCGCTGAAGAGTTATAAATAATTTTATCTCACATTTAGAAAACAGTATCAAAAGCTTTGGATATAATATATTTCACTTTCAAAAAGTACAATGCCGAAATGTTTAGCCTGGGCTTCTAAGATGATCTCAGCAATAGTACCTAAAATGCTTGAGAAGCATTAACGATAGTTGGAACTTTTTTTCCAATTTTAAAAAATGTAACTAAAAATTAAAGTAAAATTACCTGCCAAAATCGAATAAAAGAAAGTTGAAAGCAAAGAACGAAATAATTACACAATGTAACACATTAAAAATAAAAGAATTTCGCGGAATTTTTCAAATCTAATCTCTTTTTATTTGTTAAGACGGAACTGAAATGATGAAAACTATAACTATGAAAACTATAAATGATAACTATCCACTAATGATCAAGACAGGGAAAATAGAGAGATGAGAAGCTGCATGCTAGAAAGAGAAAAAGTAGATGAAGTTAATTTTGGATTTCCTTTTGCAAAATCCCAATTTATGATTCATGTCCACGAAATTTATTTAAGAAATTCCAAAATGATAAAATCAACCACCATTGACCTAAAATTCAAGACATCTACATTACTGGAACTACACAAAGCATCAAATATCGAATTTTTTTGACAGCTCCGTACTGTGGTAAATTTCGAAACCCGTGAATGCTATTTGCTTGCCCATTGATGAATCTTTCGCGATATCTGGAATTAAAAAATGTAATATTCACAAAATTTTTCGAAAAAAAATAAAGAGATCTGAGAAATGCACACAATTTCATACATTTTGCTTTGATTAAATTAAAACACAACAAATCACAAATAAACTAAGAATACTATTTTATATTCGCAATCATATACTAATATTAATTTCAATAAAACATGAGTTCGATGTCCAAATATAACTCACCGGTTAAATAAATCATAGCGCACTTTCGATTCGTATTCGCAATATGACTGAGACATTTCAGCAGCACATTCGCATCATACTTATTTTTGTCACATTCATGTGGTTTCATTGTTTGTATCACTTTCAGACTTTCATATTCCTTTATTATTTCTTCATAATGAGCATGTCTTTCCACTATTTTCGAGTTAGAATTTGATGAGACACTTAAATAAAGATTCATGATATCTGCTACTTAATATCTTTTGTGCTTAGTTTGCCCTACTTTCGTGCTTTCTCTTAACCTAGCATTTTTTTTTCATTAGCGCAAAATAGATTTCAAAAGTCTCAAATTATCGAAAAAAAAATTTTTTAAGGTTGAGAATTTTTAAAAACTATGGTAGTATTAGACATACTAGATGTATCTAATACCATAATTTTAAAAAATTTTTTCAAGACAAATTTTAAGATTGAGCACAGCATGTTTGTCAAGAATAATGAAGTTAGCGGAATGGGCTCCACATAATGTAATATACTTTATATAAAATTTTTATATAATATTTCATATAATATACAAAGCGTAATATGTGGCCAAAGTAACTGTCGTTTTCTAGACAAAGCGACAGAGCACTCAGCAGAGAGTTGTCACGGAGAACTAAAAACTATATATGGAGGAAGTTCAAAAATAAAAGTCCACTTCCAATTACTAGATGTGTCTAATACTTACCATAATTCTAGAATTTATAACTACAGATTGCTGAAGAAAAAAATAAAATACAATTATGAACCACAATGGAAAAAATATCTTCACACTACCAACCTATTGATGGTAATGGAGATAAGAACCTACTCATTCAACATTAAGGTCTGCCTGAGATGTGTATGCAATTTGGCCCACCATAAAATGGAACCACTCTTCCTCCAATTTGAAAAACGTTCCAAAATCATCCGGAAAAGTTTGGGATCCCTGCAAACATAATGCATTATGCAGTTAACACAGTAGTACAAAATTAAATCGAATTGAACATAATTGAAATATGAAAGAGCATGCTACAGGTATAAAGAAATATTTATGGAAAATAAAAGTAAAAAAGCTTTTATCACTAAAATAAAATATATACAAAGTCCCAGTAGTAAGTTGAGCATCATCGATCATTAATACTCCTCGTCTTATTGAAAAATTGCCACCAACAGTCTGAAAAAATATTTTTGGGAAACAATAGCAAAAAATTCGCTATAATCATTTTGCATAAACAGCGAAAACAATCTGCATGATCCTAAATTATAATTATGAAAAATCCTTTAAAAGATTTAGCAGTTAAATACTTACACCTCTAGTATAATATGGTTTTGGTGGGCGATGAATGGTCGGTTGATTGAAAAATCCGTAGACGCGTGGTTGTTTAAATCCTGCTACATAGTTGCTGAAATAAAAGATGAAGCAATTCTCCATGAATTTAACTGCATCAAACCAATTACTTATACATTTTTTGGAAAATAAAAAAAACCTACGCCGAAGAAGCATTACGATATTGAAAGGGTCCCGTGAAAGAAACAGGAGCATATGAAGGAGAAGGATGCGTGCAAAAGTGACCAACAGACTCATTTGCAAAGTTTTCTGGAGGTTGTGAAGAAGTTGAAGGTCGAACTGCTGACGAAATAACGCGATGATCAGTATCGCCGTTAGAGAATACAATCGGTGCTTGCATAACAGATGTGACCTGATGCGTAGTTGACGCTGTTAGCTATAAAAAGTTTTGGTAGTAGTCAATCAAAAAACATTGAACTACTATTGTTCAAATAAGTCTCATATTTTTATTCAGCACTACACTCTATTCATTCACTCTTTTCTCTACTCCCAAATCAAATTATTACATCATGAAACAATGATTGTGTCTTTATTCCATGCTGAGAAGTTCCAGAATTATAAAGCGTTTGTCGCACAATATGACAAATTATTTGTGTACCGATATAACTGACAGAGTTTTAAACTTCCTAAAATTGTCTTCAAAACATGAGAATTTATACCTCACGTGAAATGTTTGGAGCAGAACTGAATGCATGAATGGTACGCATGTCCACATCACCACTACCAACTGGTTCAGTATTTGTTTTCCAAAAAGATGAACTTTGATTATCAACCTCTGAATTTGGAAGAATATTCCATTGCAAGTGTTGCGGAGGAAGGTTTATTAATGAATCGGTCTAAAAAGTAAAGAAATAATCTTCATACATCCTAGAGTACACCAATCTCTGTAAATATAAAGCGATTTCTCTACGTTGAATTTTTTTACAGACAAAACAATAACCTTCGAAAAACAATATTTTTTGCTTGCGAAAACTGACCTTTTCACTCTTAGCCGGACTTTTTTGAATCGGATGACGTGGAAATGAAATTAGTTCAGACGGGATGTAACTAAAAATTCCACAGTTTTTCAGAAAACCACAATTTAGAAATTTGAAATTAATATTTAAAAGAGTATTAAGAATAAAATCTGTTTTAATGAAAAAAGACTTTTTATAACGAATTTTTATGACTAAAGCGACGGAATTTCTCAGATAAGGTAAGGGAATGAAAAGGAAGTAAAAGGATTATGTAAAAAAAAAATTAAATCCTCAATCTGCAAATCATAAATTTTGGGTGGCAAACAAGTTCACATGAGAATCAAATAATCTATAAATTGAAACATTCTTACGTGGCTTCATCGTTATTAATGAGATTCTCATTATTCTGAGACGTTGTTGTTGAATGAGATTCTTTACAATCACTTTTATTCTCATGTTTTTTATCAATCTGAAAGCAGTAGATGCAGTACGCCGAGATTTCCAAAAAATTTAACTGATGACAACAACGAGAACAGCTATAATCTGTCCACGATTTGATCGAAATGACAGATGAAATGAAAACTGACATTCCCTCCTACTAGTGATCCAGAATTCTTCACTGCTTCCATTGATGCTAGAGCTGTAAACGGTGTAACTTCCGGAGGCTGAAAAATATTATGAAAGAAAATCGGAAATATCTATTAGTTTTTTGGTTAATAGATGCAGCGTTTGATGCTATTAAGTAAAGCCAAATTATTTTTTTGATATTAACATTCTAACTTTCTAATGTTTGTAAAAAACATATTCCCTCTCAAAAGAACTAGAAGATACACCATCATAGTCAACTTCCATACTACATAATCTAACTGCTTTATTTTTATTTTTTTCATAAATGCTTTTTTAATAGACAAATTAAAATCTCTAAAACACTGAAAACTGAAAGTACCCGATACTGCCGAGCAGGTGTTTGAAATGAACTATCAGCAGCCGACCTCATATCATAATCGGAAATAATTTTTGGTGCAGTAGCAACGAAGATACCAGGCTCATGTGGAGGACTGGCAGGTGATTCCGTACTATCGAGTTCACTAAAAAGTACTGAAGAGATTTGGAAAATTCGAAACTAAGTGGAAAAAAGATTGCAGTATTTTCGATATTTCTTTGATACAGAAATCAAGCATTTAAAAATTCTTCAACAACACTTAATGCAACTGGTATCTACACTGTTTTAAATTGAGCCAACAACTAAAACACACTGAAAGTGTGAATGATTCCAGAATAAAAACATACCTCTGATTTCTCAAAACCCCAACAAAAGCCGTGCTGTCGCTTTTCTGAAAATTTAAATTATTTTCCATCGAAAATGCAATCCATCTAATGCTTTAACTATTTTCCCTGTAAAATTTATGGAAAACAGTATGTAATCTTGTCTTTTGAAAAATAACTAAAATCATGATTCAATTTGATGCTTCAGGCCTTAAGTATTCGTATAATTTATTCAAGGAAGTATGTAATTATATCTATTAAGGAATAATTAAGATTATGGTCCTGTTTTAATGTTTTAATTCAAACAAAAATGAACATTAAGATTCGGAGAGCTGCTTGGGGGAGATCGCTGGGACTGTGAAACAGCCCTCGGTGACGATCCTCCACTAGATAAAGCATCTGATGGTGAATAGCCACGAAAATCGTTTGGAGTTAAGTCGAATGAAGAAGGTATTGACTGAAAAAAAGGCTGGTGAATGAGTGACCTAATAAGACCCTTAAAATGTTTCATTCAGCAAATGGATTTAGACAATCTGATTCAAATTTATACTCTATAATTTTTAAAAATTTGAAACAAACAACTCAATATTTCAGAGAAATGCCCAGAACAGCTGAAAAAATTTGCCTTTTTCTTAACGTCCAAATGTTCACGTAAAGCACTCCACTCTGAAACCTTTCGTCCTATGACTGAACATGATGGCACTGGCAAATCCTTCTTGCTGATGAGACGTTTCCTGGGATCTTTACTGACAAACACCTTTTCACGTCGAGGATTAGAAGAAAGAAACCGTTTATCCTTTGAAACTGTTTCATCAATTGAATGCGGTGAACTTGGCTTCAATCTTAAGCTTGATATTGATATTGGCTGAAAAATTAGGTTAAACTAGCAAAACTTATAGAGTCTTCTCTATATACAGTATAGCAGTTCACTCTTTTTATCCAAACGATTTCAAATCAATTTCATGAATTTGCAAATCATTAACGATGTCTACGCTGAAATATTTTGTCCTCAGGAGATAACAGCATCAGATTCTTGCTGATGGCCAATACACTGAAGCGAGAAATCCAATTAAATTGAAGTGAATTATACGAAGAAAGATCATGAAAGATAGTGTTTTGCACAAACATACGTGTTCTCTTAGAGACTTTTCCAATCCAGATGTTGTATCCATCCTTTCAACACGCCACCCTCTCTTCTCTTCATCATCGTCACTATCCGCTATATCCATATCAATCGCTTCTCCAATATATAAACAATACATATATTTTTTCCCTAGTCCTAGCACTCAATTCTTATAAGTCATGGAAATACACGGGGCATAATAATGAATTATAATATTCTGTACTCCTCTACAGTTATTAATGCCTCTAGATAAAATAGAAATTACCAGAACTTGCATTCGGTATTTCTCCCTTAATTCTTGATTTATTAGAATTTTCTTCGGAAAGTGAAGTTTTCTTAGCTACATTTCGTACTAGTTCTTGAACACGAACATCTAGCCCATCGATACGTTCTTGAAGTAACAACGGCCTCATAAATTCGTCGCTGCAAAAAATATAACCCATTAGATTAATTTCACAGGCAGTAAAGCTAACGTTATTTTTCTAAAAAACAAAAAAAAAAAAAGACAATAAAAGCTTTCAAATCAACAACGAATATTTCAAATTAAATCTTCGAAATTAAAATTCAAAATTTGAATAAAATAACTGACTTCTCCTCTGTCGACATCGCTTCAAACGCACCGTTAATTAATGAACAGTTCAAATCACAGGTCAAATACAAACAATGGAAAATATTGCCAGCTGTCTTGGGAAGCGTTAACAAATCACTAAATGATCCGTTTGGCAAAAGAATGAAAATCCCAACAGATGGGAAAATTGTTATGCCTGCCTGAAAAAAACCATATTGATCAATGAAAACTAAATCGATGTCATAGAGTAACGATTTCAAGCTAAATTTCAATTTACGACATGAAGATATCAAAAATTATTCAAACCGTAATTCTAAGCAGCCAAAGGTAATCAATTAATGATATAGCGACTTGTATCACGCAACTAATGTTAATTAAATAAAAACTTAACGTTAATTAAAGAGAAATTTTAACTTCTATTCCTATAATACGACATGACTTATTAGAATGATCTTTTACAACAGATCATTTCAATACGCCATATTCACGAACTCGTTCTCAATCCTGTTTTGATTTAGAAGTAAGAAACATGAAATACTAACCGCTTGTTTTATTCTCATAGATTCGTGAAGTGAAACAAAATCCTGAGAATCATCTTCAGAAAATAATGTAAAATAGTAAACCAAACGTTGCGAATCGATCAAAAGTACCTATAAAAACTTACTTAATTTTTACTGCTTTCTCCTACAAAACTTGAATTGAATTTTCTAACCTCTTTTTTTAAAGCGACTTCTCCGAGAGCTGGCGGTTTCAGCAGTTCAAGAACAGGTTGAAAAGTCAGACAGGCAGTCCAATGGATGAGGTCAGCAATTTCGAAAACGTCGCTAAAATAAAAATGTGTTCATACAAAGATTTCACCCAGCAAATATATGAAAACTAATTCCCAATCAAGAATGTTCTTCAGAAAGCATTTATTCGTGGATAACCGTATAACATACGAAGCTAATTTCTTGAAATCATCTGACAATGTAAACTCACAGTAATGGTGGTTTAGTCGCTGCTGCTAATGAACACAGCGAAACACGACTATAAAGCTTTTTTCCAATTAATAAATTACCACTCCAAACAATTGAATCCGTTCCTTTGAAAGATAAAACGCTGAAACTCGTGAAAATGGATTGTGAAAATTTTTTTTAATGAATATACAGATCAATGATCATATTTTAAATGGTTTAATCCACTTTCAAAAGTCAAAAATATATAAACAATTAGAAAATATGTTAAAAAAACTGCTTGCACATTTGCACATTTCCGAATAAAACATATTGCTCTGAGCCTTATCATGCTGACCCCGTAGTGTAGTTTTATTTTCATATTAAGCATTAGAAAAGGTTGATGTAGTCTCATATTAATATTAAAAGGTTAACAAAAACTGAATAAACAAAATTACGTATTTGGAGGGAACTCCACATCATATATGGCAAAAGGCAAAACATTTGCTGGCGATTTGGAGTATCCAACTTCTTTCTCTTCAAATAAAAAAATCTGAAAAAAAAAATTTATATCGTTAAGAATGATGATTTATTTAAATTCTAAAAATTTTTGAAATAAAGAGAATTAATTTTTTAGAAAGCAGTCCAAAGTCTTCCTTTTAAAAATGCAAACAGCAAAAATTGGATATTTAGCAGGACCTGATCACATCGATAATTATCGTGTCGTAATAATTTACAGTCCACTGGTTGCATAGCTGAATGTGAATGATATCCTCGCTTAGGTAACAAATGGTAAGATCCTAAGCCAACAACATTGCATCTACCTTTTAAGATCTAAAAAAAATTATCATGACATAACAATTCATTATCCGCACATGAATAATACTCTTGTTAAACACTAAACGGTAAGATTGAATGCTTTGATAGTATTTGAAAAGTATTTGTGTAGCGGAGAGAACAAAAAAGGAAAGGTTAAGAATTAATCGAAATAGTAGCAAATACCTTGCAAGCTAATATCTTCAATTTGGTTCGTCCAAGAAAAGGTGCTGGTGTAACTAAGTCGGGATGTCCCGACAAGTAAACACCTAAGAATAATGCGATATACGAAAAATGCATCCAGAATATGAAGTAAAAAATTGAGGATGAAAGTGATGGCATTGCGCATATTGATATTTTAATAGATATATTAAATTATAAGTTTAACAAACCAATACTGTTTTTTAACAATGGCTATGTATCTGCCAAGAAAACTGAGAATCAGTCTTTATTGATAAACAGAAGTTTACTCATAAGCAGATTGCTTATTTTATTACGGTACAAATTTTAAGGACAAACTAACCATTCGACGGTTCACCCAAATCCCCCACGAAGTTATTATTGACAGGGAGGCCCCACTGCGCTATTAGTTCCATCTGAAAAACATTTATAAACGATTTATTAGTTAAGCGAGACTTCAATTTTAACAAGATCCATTAGTTCGTTAATAAATCCAATACATACCTTCTGTTATCGAAAAAGTGAGTATATGATAATAAAATATTATTTAGCTAAAAATTGGTCCTTTAAGATCCAATATTTTTAAAGCAACATTCTATTTCAAAAGAAGAAAATAAAGAAAAGGATTAACAATACAAGGTTCCTATTCCATGCGATTAGCTGAATTTTTCAGAAATACAGAAAGAAACCAAAATTCCCACAATTAGTAGCATCTTGAAGTACAACAAGTGTGAAAATAAGCAGAGCTTTTATAACTTACTTCACGCAAATTATCAGAAAGAAGGGTGTATCCAAACGATATATCAACAGGTAAGCACTGAGATTCTAGCGATCGTCGAAAATTGGAAAACTGAAGAGTAACAAAACTGAATTACCCACAAACTTCGCAATATGACCTTCCCATTTTTTCCCTACTAATTTTCTTGCATAATATCAGGGAATTCAACTCGTCAAAAAACGCAGATCAAATGCATTATAAACGAGGTTTTTCGAAACTGGCCGTGATTTAGCTGAACTTTAAATATATTTGTCATATTTCTAAGATATTGAATTGAAATTGAAATGAAATTAAAATATAAATCCGTCCGAAAATTTGTTTTTCTGATCGATCAAGAAAAATAACTATCACCCGTGTTTCCAGTTGTCTATTATTTATAACTCTGCATCGGACAATTCTGATTGACTCTCGGTCCTGACAACTGCTTGAGAGATGTGATAAAATAACTGGTTGGTATATATTTCGAAATGGTTCGCTGTTAAGGGCTATATCATTCATATAATTCTGAGGAAGGCCTTTAAATGCATAAATTGATTATAATCAATGAAACTTACTAGAGGAAGATCCAATTCAATATTGAAAAAAAAAAATCCATATTTGCCGCAAGATGAAGTACAGTTCATTACAGAACATTTACGGTCGTTAGATAAAAAACATCATCATTGACTCCATCAATTAATCACTCAAAAGTACGTTTTACTATATTCCCGTTCAACGAAAATATAATAAAACTCCGCTGTTTTGAAATAAATTCCAACTTCATTTTAACAAAATTTCTTTCAAGCATGTTATTTCGTAATATGTTTGCTTTTTTCTTCAGATGACAACATATATGGTTGTGTGAGAAGGTATTCATGAATGGATCGACTAGTTCATGAGGAAGGTTAAACAAATTGTGATCTTCCGTGATTAATTCTTTTCATATGAAAGAGGAAGGTACACTAATGCGAATTAAAGTGAATATACCTGTCTGATTTAGTGATTTTCGAGGAATAGCGAAATCATTTCGTTGCATTACTTCCACAATAGAAGAAAAATAAAATTACAGACCTGAAAATTTCTTTGGCAATAATATCATACTGTTTATTAACGAATAGTGAGATCATTTCAAACAAAAGAGCATTTTACTTCTCATTTCGGTACCCATCTTTATCTTAAATTCATTTAATTTCCTAATCCAGAATAAGCTACCCTGTGATATCGAGTTAAAAGGCATTTTCTTCTCAATTTTCCCTTGCTATTCTCTTTCTCCAGTAGCCAGTGATCCTTACGTGATAAAAATTTTAATGATTTGTTATGCAAATAAAAGAAGTGACCATACTATTTCTTCTGAAACAAATATATAATATCAGAATCCTTCTCACAAGATATATAAAAGTTTTATTTTGACTCTATCCACAAAAGATCAACCACACTTTAGCTTTGTTCACTTCATTAACTTTAAAACATCCAGTGTTCTACACTACTTACACGTCGACCTCTCATTTTTAATTTCACGAAATTTTTACTCCATTCTTCAAACTTTATCCATCTTAAAGCTACACCCCTTCCCTCCCCTCACAACACCCACTTGCTCCAAGCAAAGCATTTAGAAAAAACGACCAATGTGGAGAATCATGCCTCCAATCATACGAAGTACGCAATCTGCCCGCCTTGAAATACTATCGTCTCTATCCCCACAAATAATTTATCAGCTCGACCATATGATCATACCACTGGGAGAAAAAGTTGAATAACGCATTGATCTAATAAAAGACACTTCAAAATGTCATAAATACAAGTGAAGTGAAGTGAAGTGGTAAGTTAGAAAGGAATGGTGGATCATTAACCGATCATACCACACTCACTCATACTATCTCGGAATTTGTTAAACTTCATTTGCAAGAATGTTCCGGAGTTCCTCTCTTATGTAATATGGAAATTTCATCTGACAAAGAAAGAGCTGTGCTTCCGGCAATCATCTTTCTCTTTCTCAAGCAAAATTATATTGTGAATCTTGCAAATACTACTCACCTTTAACAGTACTCTTTTGTCAACTTTTTTTTCATGACATGCAAGAAAAATACCTGAATCTCGTTTTTGAATTTTCATGTTATAAAAGGATGATACAATAACTGTCACATAAAAACCGTGTATTTCAAAATGTGATAAAGTACACCAGAGACAAAAATCGTCATATTTAACGAACAATAATAAGTAAATATTGCAAGTTCTGCTGCCAAAATGCGTTATACTACCATTTTCTCGGAAAGTGAGAAGCCATCTACGGATCCAAAATTTTTTGCAACAGTTTCGTTCTCTTAAAGACCAAGTCTCCGGGAATGGATTTGTTGATCGTTTAAACAAATTCCACGTTAGTGACATTTGACAACAAAGTGAAGTGACAAACATAGTAAAAAGACAGATAGAAATATCTGACAATGAGGTGCAAATGCATTAAAAAAAACAAACAATTAACTTAATGAAAAGAAAATCCCAGCAATATCTAAACTTATTAAATTTTCTCATTTTTAAAAGCCTGCAATACTATTTCGCCTAATCCAAGCTTACAAAGTTCGGTTCCTACAATAAATCCGTATAGCTAGGCAAAATCCTCAACATAACTGCCGACTACTGCAGAAAAACACTATTAAGTTAATATTCGAGAGAAAAAAAAATCACAAACATCAAAAATTAATTTAGTGTAACTTCGTGAAAACGTTAGACGGTGTGCCAAATCTTTAGAATTACAACGAAGCAATTTGGCACAACTTTTCGAATTCAAAAACACAAATCAATTTGACGAATTCAAGTTAATCTACAATACCACATAAAGTGCACTGCAAAGTTGTACCTATCATTGTAAACAATTGAAATGAGCAAAAACAAGATGCAAGAAATCCTAAATATTCATATCGACATTTTCATAATACCAAATTATTCAAACAGTGGCGCATCTTGCAAAAAAGTGACTATATGAAAGAGCAGTAATTTTAAATTAATGCATTTATACAAATGATAGAGTACACACATAATATATCGAGATCATTATTTTAAAAATAGGAAGTTTCTATCATTCAGTGGGCGCAATTGAAAATTCAATCATTTAATATATAAACTCTTTTATATTTCTAAAGTAAACGCTTATTCATTTCAAAACTAGTTGAAATAAACCGTGTAAATTTGCTATAACAAACGGTGTGAATTTCAAAGGCATGCACTGAATGATTTCTCAATTTCTATATTTTTTAAAACTTATATATTTTGACATTTTTTCGAAATTTTTTCGAATTTTCAGGATATGAGTTAAACTGATAACTGTTAAATACACATGTATACATATATAAACTAAATATTTTTGATCATATGCCACGAATGGTGGTATAGAAGCTTATTTGAGAATAATACATCACGAATTTCGTCATCTAAACTTAATAAGAGAGAAAAAAAAGATACAGCACATTCTATAGCAGACAATAATTGCTTTCTCCTGAATATAAAGACAAACTTCGCCACAATTCTTAGCAATTTACATTGCTCAAGCAGCAGCACCATTGAAACCCTGCAATAATTAAAAGATGCGCTAAAGTGAAATAAAGTAATCCTACTCATTTTTCGATTATCAGCACAGCCACAACTTTACTTCGCTAAATAACTTTTGCTTTATTTTCGATATTCTCCCATGTTTATTCCTTCAAAAACAAAGTTTCGGCCATTAGGTTGCTTACTGAATATTAACATAACTACGCTAGAAAATTCGATAATGATGAGTTTTCGAGTAGCATCACTTACCGAACCAAGTAAACTTCGACTACTTTGTTCCGTTTCCATGCTGTTGGGAGAGACAGGATTTGCTTCGACGAATGAACATCTCTTAGGTTGAGTTGGTGCTGTATCTTCATCCTCCGTACTCCTATCTGCTGATCTTTTTCTTCCTTTGTTCTTTTGCTTAAATTTAAGAAAAATGAATTTAATTTGGGAATCAAAATTTAAAAGCAATGCTTTCAGAGAAATTTGTAATATAATTCCAGCAATTTCAATTATTTTACCACTTCCTACCCGGTTTGTTTCGTCAGTATTCACCGAAAATTGCAGTTCCTTGTCTTGACCATTATCCACGAGAAGCTGCACTGCAGGAGATTGGTTTTCAGCTGCTATAAATTATAAGATATAAATTTATAAATTATAAGATATAAAGATATAAATTTCATTAAATCTGAAAGACTCATAGACAAGGATTAGTATAGTTTGCAGTGTAAAGTCTGTTCTAATGAAGTAAACAAAACTCGAGATTACCTTCTATAGATGAACGACTGTGAAGGATCAATCTGCTGGTTTCATTCTGGAAACAAAATAATTTCAAAAAATTGGCTGAAAATTTATCTAGTGTTAGAAAAAAACCACATAAACCGATATAAGCGCTCAAAAAAATGAAAATGACATGAAGTAATCCCATGATCAGCAAGCCGATTACTTACCGTTAGTTTCCTTTCTACCGTACTACTTGAATTAACAGGGATGTCACTGCAACCCGAAATGTTCGCTTTAGGAACTGTCTCTGCACAGTTCTCTACACAACTGTCTCCCTGCACAGCTATCGCTTCAGGAACTATCTCTGCACAGTTCTCTACACAATTGTCTCCCTGCACAGCTATCGCTTCAGGAACTGTCTCTGCACAGCTCGAGTCTGTAAGTTTTTATCCCCATTTTTTAGAAAAAAATTTTGAAATTCAAACAAAATAAAGTCCAAATCAAAAAATCCAGATAATCATAATGGGAAGAAATTTTGTAGAAAACGAATTCGAATCGAAAGAAAACGCACCTATTTCTGCCGAAGTTGTCGATGGCATTATTAAATCATTTTGTACATTTTTACTGATTTCCGTTCCTGATGTAGAGGGTGATGCAGCTCCCTGAAATAATTAGTTTCAGAAAGCTTCAGCTGAACTGGTGACTTATAAATTATGTTTATCCTCATCTGTTCCCAATCATTTCAAATCTCTAATTCACATTTATTATATTACATTATTCTTTATCTAAATTAAGAGATGAACTTACCGAAGAGTTACAAGAAGCGATGCTTGATGTTTCACTCCTTGTCTTGCATTGTGATGGGCCAGTAGACTGCTGATTTTGAGCGGTTGCAATTCGCCTCCTCTTTGGTGCTTTTCTTCCTTTAGTTAGATCTTCCATTTTCAACCATTTTACAAGTTCTGCTTTACGAAGATAATGTGGTATTACCTAAAAATGGAATGAAAATGAGAAAGTCCAATAATTTCCAGTTTCTAACAAAGTAATGAAACTTAAAAATTCAATATTCAAATCATTGCTTCTGCTTGAGTTAGAAGACACACCAGCGACCAAATCATATAATTTAACAGCTCTCCTAAATTAAGACAAGTTATAGATAGTACAGAAATACGTACACTCATTCCTTCCACGTATATATTTTGAGTAGTAGCCATGCTATTCAAAAGATCCATAAAACTTTGAACTTCGTGCTGAATGTCAATTTTTCTGCTCACAGCTTTATTTAAATCTAAGCCAATAAACCAAAGCCGACATCGTGGATCCCTAAAATAAATTCAGTACATCGTCGGGAATATACCTTTTTCATTACTTTCTAGAGATTTTTAATTACTTAAGGATTTAAACAATAAGAACATCTAATAAAGGAGCACTAACTGGAGAGAAATTTGAACTGGAAAAGGATCATTTCGTGGTTGATAATATTTCGTGTGTACGTGACACACCCTGATACTTTCACGACGTTCCAGACTTGCAATCAAAAATCGGATTTTAGATTCAACTAGTCCACACCACACTAATTCATCTTGCTGAAAATTTGAAAATCACTGGCATTTTTCTATTCAGAAAATATATTAACATATTACTGCAAAGGGTGATTCATTTTGTCTTCTTACACTTTATTAAAACTCTCCAATATTAGACATATGACCTGAATTAACAAGAGTCACAACTCACCTCTGTTGCCGACAAACAAAGAAGAGCTAGAAAATGCTTGTAACGACTGAAAAAATTAACTTCTTCAAACAGTGCTGACCATTCAGCTTGTCCTTTCATTATGTCGTTAATAGTAACAAGACCTTAAAAAATTAATTCTGAAAGATAGTTCGTATAAAACTTCTGCATGCCCAAGTATAGTGCAGTATGAATTGAGTGTAAAAGTATTAACTAACTGTCATGCAAGAAATGACCCGATAGAAATATGAATTTAACATGAGAAGGAAGCACTAAGAATAATAATGCACTACTTCAAAACAAACCTTCCTCGATTTCATTCATGATGATTTTCAGCGATGATTTCGTTACATTGAATGTTGAATTCTGCTGCGGGAAAGCTGGTGTCACAATTGGCATGAGATGAAACCTGGGACTGGGACTTTCACTAGACAATGAACAAAAAGTAAATATTAATTTTGGGGGGAAATAAGGACTTCTTTTTCATTTCGCAATATAAAGCATATTAATTTTGAGGGGAATAAGAACTTCTTTTTCATTTCGTAATATAAAGCATAGAGATATAAAAACAAAAAGTTACCGATCACCACTTCTTGATCTCGGATCCCACACAAGTTCTTGTAAAGATGGCATATCACGTGCGTGTGAAATTTCTGTTTCCTTAAGAACCACTGGATGTGGCCATTCCCTAGAACAAGCTTTTAAATAATCAAAAAGACCTAAATATACTTCGCAATTCTATTTCAAAAATATTTACAAAAGCGTTTTACATCAGTGCGAGAGAGATAATAAGCATTAAAAATCCTTAAAAAAATTTCTCCTTCCAAAACTATTTAAACTATTGATTAGAATATTTACCATTTTGTGTACAGTAAGAAAAATTTCTGTACAAGTCTTGCTGGTCCGGTATTGGGATATAACTGACATGTTCGAGCGACAAGTATTGCCCATGACACACCACCAAGATAGCCAAGTACATTAGAATATATGCCGTGATCTGCAAAATATTCACTCCAGTAAAACCATGAGATACACTTATTAACGGTAAACAATAAAAGCTTTAATTCGAAGTTAATTTTTTTTGAGTACTTCAGTTTTTACTTATGTAGTGGATACTTCTAAATTTCATTAATGAAAGCGTAAAAAATCTAATGGCTAAATTTCATTAATGAAAGCGTAAAAAATCTAATGGCTAAATTTCATTAATGAAAGCGTAAAAAATCTAACGGCTTTAGTGGCTAGCAAAAAAGAACGATCCGATTTATGCATGTCTAAATGATGAAACGAGAGTGAGGTGAAGCATGATTTCAATAAGATTATCCCTAATATTTCAACATAAAAAGAAAATAATAGGTATAAAACATACTTTTCGCCCAAAGTTTAATGGCTCGTAGTGCGTATGTAAAATTCGATACATTAGGTACTAGGCGTAATATTTCATCGGCTACGCGGCAACCTAGAAAGGGTGCTTGTTAAAAATGATAATGTACTCGAAAAACAATTGGAATTTATTTTAACAAATTGACAGAATTTCTCACATTTCATTTTCATGGTTGATGAACTCACCATTTAACGAACGAACGCTTTTCTCATCTAAATTTCTCAATATCGAGTCATCGTTCAACTGCTGATCTTCTGGTACCCTCGGTAGAGCAAGGCGAGCAAACAATACATCCATTTCAATACCATAATATTTTAATTTGATCACAGGCACAAAAGCTTCCTGTACTTGGCGTAATTCTGTCGTATTTGGATCCTGAAAGACAATGATAAATCTTAAGTCACAATTCTGCTATGAAAACAGTAACGAGCACCCCTTTAATCTAAATTTCTCAGCATCAATCACCTAAATTATCGTGAGGTCGTTAGTTTTTGAAATCAACTCGTTTGACTCTGTGACTTATTCACTAGGTCAAATAAAGAAAATTACCTCAGCAAGCATCTCATAAAAACTTGTGAAGAAGTCGTTACGATCCACATGTCTCGGTGCTACACAAAGTGAATCAATATCAGCCCCTGAATTAGTTAGGGAGTTTGTTTATGCACCAAATATAATATAGTAGAGAAATATGACATGAAAAAGATGAAATTAAGGGAAATGAGAACTTCTGCAAATCTAAAAAATAAACCTCTAGTGTGCACATTGAGTCGATATGAACCAAAGGTAAATAATTTCCCACCGACGCTTTGAATTTCTGAATCAGGCATCTGCTAAAGAATAAGCAAGCTTTTTTCTTTCTCTTTCAAATACTTACAATCGGAAAAAAAAGTAAACAGAACATTCAGCTACTTTACTGAGTGAAAATGCTAGAAGATTTTGCCTAATAATCATCATGAATGAATCGTAGACATGCAGATGAACTGACATAAAAATGATGGAAAAAATAAGGCCAAGATGATGGGATGTCTCATGGATACATCAAAATTATAATTTCAAAAATAAAAAGACGAACCCTCCTTTTTGATACGACGCGAACCCATTTTTTCACATAGGCATTGATTTTGCTGAGCACTTTAAGGCGTAAATTCATTTCTTCTTCTGTTTCAAAATAACCATTTGCTTGTAAATATTCATCAAGCTGAAAAATACAATGAAAATCATCTTCCAGTAGTATGTAATAAATTTATGATAACGGCGAGAATTTTACACATAATTTTTCAATTTTGCAAAGTGCAGCAATGCCTCGAAAATCATAAAATACTCCTTTTTTTTATTATGACAATCATCATAAATTCAAGGCAATACTTACTTTTGCCGACATGACAATATCAAATTCATCCGGTCCCGAGATCGAGATAGGTTGTGAGACGCCAAGATAAGTTGTCGTAGGTTTATTGTCCTTACCATTACTGTTGCCTCTGTTTGTTGTAGTATTCTGCTGTACTTCTTGAGGCATTTGCAGTGATATGCAATTTCTACTGCTTAAATTAAAAATAGAACTACAACTGTTTTTGTCTTCCAAAATCTAATAGCTTTTTAAAATAGTTCATGTTGCACTGTGAGATTTAAAAAACGAATGAGGTAACCACTTGTCAATTCAAAAAATTTCCTTGACACTTAGACTAATGCGTTCCAGATAATAACAAAGTACTAAAAATTTTTTCCTAATAAACACTATGACATATGATGATAATATGAAATTTGGAGCAATAAAACAGAAAGCTTATCCATTGTAATTTAACCTAATCGGTTTTATCCCTCAAGCTACATTCCTCATCAAATTTGAATTTGACCCTTACGAACAATGAATGAATCTCTGCGCACCATACAGGAAACCTTAAGTTGACATCTCCAACCTCCAACTCATTAATTAAGAGCCGACTACACCGCGGTGGACAATACTGATATCATGCAACGTTCAGACTCGGACAATTCTAGGGTCGTTATGAAAACTTGTCTCCTAACTCAATTAATGCCTTGGAAAGGAAGGGAGAAGATATGAACATCAGCTGGTATGTCAGTTACAAAAAAACTATAATAAATAGATGGAATGAATAAAATTCGATAAAATTCACCTGATAAATCACAAAGATGAAAAAAATTAAAAAAGTAAACATATTATTATGTGTTTTTGAATAATATCAACATTATCTTCTTACCTTTCTGATTGAGGCAATGCTTCAGAATTAATCGATTCCTTAATCAATAAAGTTGTAGATGGTAGATTCGATGACATATCAGGCAGTGAAGAGTTGTTTATGAGATTAGCTTCTTGTGAAGAATTTGAAATTCCTTTATTTTCTATGCTTACATTGATCTTATTTTGGCATTTTTCAAATTTATTATCGTTCAAATTCTCTGATTTGATATTATTTGAAGTTGTTGGTGAATTTGATACACTCTTGATTTGAAGTGGAGAGAGTGTCGATTGACCGGCGACCCATCGATATCGTGAATGAAAGCGAAGTCTCCCATATGGCGGGATGTTATAACTCATCTAAAAATGTTTACAAATTTTGCATTGAAAAAGATTTTGTAAGAATTAAAAAAAGTATTTAATCACAACGAGTACAAAATTAATATGTAGTTTTTTGAATATAATCTTGTAAATCAAAAAAAAATTTTTAACCTATTCAACGATTGAAAATTCCATAAATGTAAAAGAGATCAAAGGAACTCTAACTTTTCTGAGTGATAGACATTCAGCAACAATAACAATTTCAAAGGTCAACATTTCTTCACTATTTATATGTGACTACTTTCAAAAAATCAATGAGGTCACATTGTAGTTATCTTTTCGCTTTATCCAAATATACGGATTAAATTAATTAGTCACATATACTGCTGAAAATGTTGTGAATAAGAGTCGCAATAAAGCTGAATGGAAAAAAACTTTAGCAAGAAGTGTTGCAAACAAATATTAAATTCAAATCAATATTTGAGAAAGAAAGTAATCTGTAAAACTTACAGGCGTTTTTATTAAAAATATGGTACCTGATGTTGCAAGTATTATTAACTTGATTATGCTAATGTGATATTATCTATTTTAATTGATGACAAATTAAATTTCAGTTGTGCAAGGATGAGTTCCTACTATAAGCTTTATGCCACTAAATGGAAAAGTTAGAGTAAAAGCGTTCATTATATAATTAGGATTTAAATGATAATTCAGGCAATGTTTATCTTTTATAAAGATTTGATATGTTTTAATTGGTAGAGAAGATTTTGAGAAGAAGATGAAAGAACGTTGAAGAACGCTTCATTTTGAATTAAATCTGAAAAAGTAAAATGAATTTCAAAAAATGATACGAAATAGGATTCAGATATAAAAATGAAAGAAAAAATGCTGTCGTAGCAGTAATTTTTTGTTGGTATTTGAGGTGAATTGATACTAATGAATATGGTTGGGATAAGGATTTTATTGATTGACGGAGGGTTTATTCTTGTATGAGCGTTTTACGATAATTATTAGAAAATATCGCGGGTGAATTTGGTTAGTAGTTCGTTAGTACTTCCCAAAAGGTTAACTTGACATTTATGATCATGCAATAAACGAAACCATTATTATAACCCTGAGAAAGTAAAAAGAGCTGAATGAACAAAAAAGTCAATTCAATATTTTGAAAGAATTTAAGCCGTCTGATGAGCAATTTTTACAGTACAAATTTATTTTAATTATTTCTAACGAATTTGTATTTTAAAATTATTTCAGCCCTCCTGTTCGTGCAGCATTAAACATTACCAAATTCCAAATTTGAAAAATTTTGACGAATGGAAATGCTTCTCCTATCAGGATATTTTTTTGCTGAATGGCTATTGAATAATGGTGTGAGAATGAATTTCTACAGTAACCTTGTGGTTGCTAAACGGAAAAGTTGGAGAGTAAAATGAGAAAGTACGGAGTGAGAGAAATATTCTGCCTGGATACCCAGTTCTATGTGGTCACAACACACAGCCATTATCTCTGCCGTGTACACGGCAAATTTGAAAATGGAAGAAGTGAATAGATGATTCTGAGGAAAAATACTATGACTTCTCAGTGAATTTCTTTTCGACGAGAGAGAAGGAATTCAAAAAGATTCATTCTTTATTTAATACTTTATGTATAAAGTCACTTTCTCATTAATTTTCGTAGTTTTCTTTTGATGAGATAATTTGACTATTGTAATGAAGTAAATTTGGCAACACAATGAAGATTCAACGAAGAATATTCAACAAAGATTCAACAATGAAGTTCAACGAAGATATTCCCAGCAAAAACTTTATCGAGAAATATTTGCCGGAATTCTTTACCCTTCCCCTCCCTCTTTCATACTTATCAAGTGAAACACATATCAATGAGTATGAAATAATTTGTTTTCCTTGTAAAAGGCAGACTTTGATATGCTTATTTTTCCGTGTACAGGTTCAAAACTGAACCGTTTGCAGTTTTTATTATTTACTTCAACATCACGGAGCATTCTTTAACTTTGGATGGATTAACTGATATTGTATTTTTTATATAAATTTTCTGAAAAGTTCAATCCACAAATTTTCTTCTAGTACCATAGTTTGCTTTAAATTTGAAAACTGGAAATGATTTGTGATATTTTATTAATCACACACATAATGATTGAAAATTTTGATGATATAAATTATGAAATTGTAACCTTAAGAAAATGATTGTAGATTTTAAATATCAATTATGGATGTAAACTGGACATTTTGTAAAAATCTGATAGATGAGCATGATCAATGGCTGCAATTTCTATTATCGGAATATCATTCCGGCTTTTTAAAAATTGTAAAGTAATTCAAGGAATCAGGCCTTCACTAACGATATGTAGTAGCATTTTCTTGGTTTACTTATGACCTATGGAAAATACTTGCAGAAAATATAGTACAGAATATATTACAGAAAGTATTAAAAGTACCTACAGAAAAGATAAAATATATTTATAGAAATCCTGTTATAGAAAATATGTAAAAAATAAAGTGTAGGAAATATTTATTGAAAGTATAGTATAGAAAATACTTGTAAAAATATCTATTAAAAGTATAGTATAGTATAGTATAGGAAATAGAAAGTATACTTTAGAGAATACCTATAAATAATATGAAAAATATCTATAAAAATCATATTATCTAATTAAAAATAATTGAAAAATTGTTGCTAAGAGAATTTTATAAAATATAAAATTAAATAAAGTCCATTTTCTATTGGATAGCATATGGATAAATGAAATAAAACTTTAACCTAAAAAAATGAAACAAAGGAGAAATAAAGGAAAACAACCCAATAACGATCGATTGTTACTTCTGAAATGAGAAGGAGTTGAGATGACCAAAAGGTACTCGAAGAGTAATGGTTTGTAGGAATAGGATTGTTACTCCTTAAGGGTAATAAATTCATCAGAGTATTAAAGAAAATGATGACATTTTATTATGGTTCACCTTAGCACTTAAATAGATATCATCTAATCATTTCTTATCAGAAGTCTTTTCACCGTTTAATTTCAAAAGAAGAAATAATGGTGGTAAAAGTAATGTGTTTACTTCATTTGTCAAATATAAAATTATATATTTTTAAAATGCATAATAAGAATTAAAATTGTAATAAATAATTTGAAAATTGCGTCCTGAACAAAATGAGAAAAATAAAAAACAAATATGTATACATATCTGATATTATTATTATTATTATATGTGTAATTAATACTAAAATAAAAAGAAGCAAAATACAATAAAAATAATGATAATAAAAGAATTAGAATTGAATATATCAGAAAAATAAGTTAACAAAGAAAATAGATAATTAAAAAAAATGGAAGCAATAAAATAAAGATAGATATCAGATATGGTTATCTAAAGAAATATAGCTAATGATAAATAAAATATTATAACTATTTTTCAAATGGTACCAATCCAAAAAACTTAAACAAAAAACAAGAAAATAAAAAAATTTTCAAAAATATAGCAAAAATTGAAATCATCCAAAATTCAAAATATTTAATAAATTCAATGGAATGAAATCTTTATTTTACTTCCATTTCAAACTAAAGTTGTATATTTTTGATAATATATAGATGAGAATTTTAAATCATTCAAACTTTGAGTTTTTACATTATATTACGATGATGATAGTGAAATGTAATCCTTTTGTCGGAATTGTTTATTAAGTAAGGGCCTGATGTGTGAATACCAAAATGGTAAATATTCAAATTAAAATTTCTTATTTTTCACACATCCATATAACCTTAGATTAAAGATCAGTTGACACAATGAAAAAAAGTTCTTTGAATGTTGCCTCTAACTGAAGAATTTAGAGACAATTCGATAATGAAAATAATTCCATTATGAACAGATTAGTTTTTTCCCAACCAATGAAGGAGTAATTAATTGTTGTTGCAAAGTAATCTGATAATTACACCTGGCTGTTAAAAGCATTCGTCCGACGTCTATAATATTGTTTGTAAAAAAAAAACAAACATCAAGCTTGCAGAAGAGAAATTAAATTGTTAAAGCGCAGATCTACTTTTATCGAAAAAATATCTCTATTCTTACCAAATGTCAATCATTTTGTCACATACCAATCATCCATAGAACTTTCTTATTATGATCTAAGAAGAATTCATGTAAGAAAGCATAATTTTTAATCATTAATTTACAACGAAGCAAAAGCTATCAGTGTTAGCATACTTTTCCAAAACAAATGTTTTAGAAAAACTGACCAATGAATTTCTAGTTTAAGTTCTTTGGCAAGTTTAAATTACACACTATTCTGAAGGAATCATCGTGTAGATCTTTAAGTAAAAAATTAAAATATATATATTGTTATTTGAGTACGTACAATGTTATTAGTAAGAAGCATGCAAAATAGTTTGACCTTTAACTTTTGGTTCCAGAAACATCTACTAATAATGCTATCATTTTTTGTTGTTGCATTGACAGTAAATTTACTGAAGTCATTTTTACAATCTTTAGAGGATACTTGATCACGATCTTAACTGATTGGAAAATCGGTGATTTTTGTTCTACTTTGGATATGCAATTCAGTGGCTCATTTAAAGATTAATACATAAGTTGTCTACCGTGAAATATTCAAGTCAATTTTATAAAATACTGTATAAGTTCGTCACAATCAGATGGTTCATTTCAAAAGTTGTTACATTATTATAACTGCGATAATTCGTATTATTTTAAGAGCAGAATTTCTTCGTCGAGGGAATTATAAAAGTTTATTTGATTAAGCAAGCAAAAGAAAAGGAAATTAATCAGATTAAAAGGAATATAATAAAAATGGGCGCAAAATGTATGCTAATAACTTGCATGGCTTTAAAACAATTGGTGCATTTGCATTTTTTCATGCAACAAACAGTTTAACTTGCACACCATATCATATGTTGATACCTTTATTAATTATTACCAGAAATTTTGTTTTTGACTTCACACTCTGTTTTAGATAATCATGTTTATTTCATGTACACAGTTATATTTTTCTAACTCAAATCAACAACAGATGACATTCCTTCATTGAATGTAAAAATCAATTGTCGTTTGTCCTCATAGCTGAATATAAATTTGAAATCAGAAGTAAACATATTCGTAGCATTCAATAACTTCATCAAAATTCTTAAAAATAAATGTTGGTTAACTATTTCCTTAATTGGATAATAAAATCCCTTACAAAACAGTTATAATTTGACAGATAGAATTTGCAAGCCTTCATTCTACTACCCATATGGCGCTTTCCAGCACCGATTTCATAACTTCATTAGCTAAGTAAATTAATAGCGGTTTCTTTAGTTATTTAATGGATGTCTAGTGACAGTAGTGAAGATTATCTTTACTGACATATACAATTAATTATCAGGATACATGAATGATTGCAGCCATTTATGGAATAGTAACAATATTGAAACCACCGGACAAAAAGTCATTTTTGAACTTACTTCAAAGAGTGAATGGGAACTGTGAAAATTTTCTATGAGCCAAACAATTTAGAAATTCATATTAGGAGTGTAATGAAATATTTTTCAACGTATTATTACGAACTTAATCAATTAGCTTCACTATTTTTTCCCTTCGAATGTGATAAATGCTTTACACCTCAAACATACCTGCCATTTTCTGTTCAATTAATTTATCCAACAAATGATACACAGCTCATCCATCTATTTATTTCGCGTATGCTTTGGCTTCTTATAAAAAATTATACTCAATTTGCAAAAAAAAAATGCAGAGTTTAGGGAGTTTCGGAACTCATCAGAAGCATAAAAATATCAGTTTTGAAAATCATCTATCTTATAATAAAATGAATACCTAAATAACAAGAGTTGCTGATGCCATTTGCATAGAAAGTATTTCTCATCAATAGCTCCATCAATCATTTAAGGTCATCTGCATTCAAGATTTGAAGAAAAATTTAAGATCATTAAGGCAAATGGCTGTGTTGAAAAAACATTCCGACAAATTAGCAATACTTTTTGCATATATGTTCAGCATTATATACAAATATAAGACATAGTTTATCACTTTAAGTAATTGAGCCAGGAAGTTACGCTGTTGAAATGTCAATCCCCTAAATGTCCAGATCCTCCGATGCTAACCTTAATTCTAGCTGCACAACAATTATTATATTAAATACAAAAAGAAAAATTTATTGTTCGCACTTTGGTAAATCATCAAGTAATGAGGATGAGTCCACGACTGTTGTTTTCTTTAGTGTTTCAACGAAATCCTTGTGCTGACACAACAACAAAATGCATTTCCTGTTCTGTGCTTGCTTAACGATATATTCCAGAACGATGCAACACTGTCGAGCAAATGTACGCCGTTGCGCGATATCATTTTCAATTAGAAGAGAACCAACAACCATGAATAGAGTAGTGAAATCAATATGTGATGAGCATCTGAAACATGTAAGTGTATTATAAGTTAGCGCAACAAATAATGATTTATTTTAGATTATCGTAAAATATGTTATCGACGATGATTTGTGCAGTTTACCTTTCTGATGTTTAACACTGCTTTTATAGAAATGAATCAGAACTACATCACATGCAACTACGTCGTGAATTGATGCAGTCGTAGCCATTTCTCGGAAACAATTATAAAAAATTATAAAAAAAAATTTTCGAGAAATTAGATTATATTTAACAGTTATTTCATCTCCATGCATATGTTCCTAAAATATGTGCAAAAATTATTCGTTGTTATAGCTCACCTCTCTATGAAATATGGTAACTCGATAATAAGTGCTCGCTTCACTTTCCAAAATATATCTGATTTTAACAAAGCGACTGTCTGCTCAACATGATGAGACAGTTCGACTGAAAAAAGCAGAATGTAAAATCATTTAGTAATAGAAAGTTGACAAATGAAATAATGTTTCGGGATGTCATAAACTATTAAATTCCAGAAAATACTCTAAAGTAAACTTAAATCAAAGACGTAAATGACCTGTTAAAGTAAAAACTATGGATAGACTGCTTTCTGATCGCTTATTTTCAATTTCTCTCTAACCAACTCACTTTTAAAACATATGCTAAGCAGTAAGGAACAAGCTCTCATTCCCGGCGATATCGTTGCAATGACAGAAGTCTTTTCACTAGGTAAACTGTGTGGTTTTTCTGACTGTACTTATGATAAAGCTGTCAAGCCAAAAAAACTTTGATTCCTCATTTGGACTATGGCGACGCTTTGATTAAAGACATAACTAAAGGCACTAAAATCAGCGAGACAAAAAAATTCTCCACTTCATGGACTAAAAAGAAAATTACTTTTCGGACTGAAAATGGAGTTGCCTGACTACAGATTCCAAGTTTTAGTTGAATTGGAAAATAGTGAGGCAATCTACTAAACAGTAATCGAAAAAAGAATATTTAAGGTAAAAAAAACAATAAAGCATAAGGATCTGTTCAAATTTCCCAGAAAAGAATGAATAAGAACAATGAATAAGCACTACCCTTCAGTGCTTCCAAAATTATTATTAGTTTGAAAATTCCACTTGTGTTGCAAAGTTTTTTGACGATGTCTTGAGTTTTAGTATATAGATAACTGAGGAGTCGAACGTTAATCATAGTGTTGAGTGATAAAAAGAAAAGTTGAATGTAAATGTAACACTGAGAAAGACGAAAAACAGAGAAAATCGAATAACTTGAATAGCACATTCGTTCAAGCATAAAAACACTTCAGAAGTTTTAGCTCTTAAATTTCAGAATAAAATTATGGTCAATTATTAAATAGCAATAAAAGATTTGCAGCAATTTGCGTCTCAAACGAAAGCGTTTGAAAAAATAGGAAAAGTGCACGCTTTTCATTCCCAAAGTTTCAGGAAGCTGGGGAATATCTAGCTGCAACCAAATCCATCACAGCAAGCTATAACATAAGTTGGATAAGAAAACTGGTGTATATCCAAATGAGTTTCGCGACAGGTTAAGCTCTGAGTTCGGAACACAGAAGCTTATAAGTCATACATACAGTTGGAAAAAATGTGGTTTGTGAGTTGAAAAAAGCTTCAGTGAATACAGACAAACCTCCATGAAAAGACAGCAACAAATGAGCAATTGTCGGCACAATCTTCGTCAGATAATCGTAAGTTTTTAAATGATCTGTACTGCTTACATCGCTGATAATATTATCGGCATTCGATCTAAATATTTCATAAGCTACAATCCGATACAAAATTAATGATATACTTTGGTCTTCACAGATCATAATGGAAAAATCGTTCTTTGTCAAGTTCTATTTTCGCTACTCCATTGAACTGATAGTTTTTTCTGGCAAAAAATTGAAAAATAATACAAAATCCCCACTCTGAATGGTTGAAGTTCATGACATTGCAGACATATGCCATTACTTGTCCCGCAATATTATTACAACCAGTCATTTCGCAAAACACTGCAGCGCAAAGAAGCGCTTCTCCACTATATTTTTCATTTTTCTTCGAACATTGTTCCCATAAAGGTAAAAATTTCTATAAAAGAGATTTTTCCATCATCAAATAAAGCGAGCATTATAAGCATGACTTTGAATCACTGGCTTTTATGACCGCCAATATTATAGCATGCTCCTTGAGATGAAATTAAATTGCAACTTCAAAATTATAATATGTATATATTATGCCAATACACCATTAACCTCGACATATTATGTTGTTGACAGTTGGTGATAGAGTTATATAACACGATTTTTCAGAAGTGTGTCAACAATTTGTCCGATTGCGAAACACACATCTGCGAACAAGGTACTTTTATGGGTCTCACTTCATATGGCTCCCAATTTTAAATCAGAAGTGAATACTGACATAAACTTGAGTAGTAAGTATACCATTTTAACAGTAGCTTCGTCCCACTTTGAAGCCAAAATTTTCCCTGATGAATGTAACAAAGCACTGATTGCTTCAATTAACTTTTCTTTACCATCCCATATTCGGCCGTGTAATGCGTTTGTTAAATTATCATAGAGCATTTCTGAAAGAATATACACTGAATTCTTGTTAAATAATTCACATTCAATTGATCATTTTGTTTCTGAGCTTCCCTACTTTCATTTACTTATAACTTACTTGCTTTAGCTTAAAGAAAGAAAATATGGAAATCACCAATGGCGGAATTATAAGCTCAGGTTTTTTATGCTAGATTTCTTTAATAATTTTACAATAACGAATATTTGATTTCAGAGCGTAAAGCTATTTCACATTCTTTAAACATAACATATGTACAATAAAATAATTTCATAAATTGACTACTCTCTGCACTACTACTATTGATTGTTTCCTTCCAAAACTAAAGTAACAAACAAACCAGCACTGCTAACATCATCCTTGAGAACACCAGATTCGGCAACTGCTGCAAGTACCTTCGCTGCTTGTGCTTTCATTGCAAAAACAGAACTTGTTTTTAGTGCAACTAAAGCCATCTCGATCATTTCCTTACGATATAAACACATAGCAGACGAGGTATCTGTGAGAAATTACATATTCATCATGTCGTTACATGAAAATTAATATTTCTTAAGAGTCCTCAACTGAGTGAAATCAGTTTGGAAACAAGTTTTGTTAAGATTCCATTATTCACTCCAACGAGTCTTTAATTTTTATCTAAAAATCTATGAAGTAAAAATCAAAATACTTTAGCTATGAGTAGCTAAAACAAGGAGAGAAGTTGTAAAACAGTACCCGGAACCAACTCGGACCATAATTCATCCCACATTTCGAGTCTCTTTTTTCCCGCCTCATCATCTTTGGCAACTGAAAACTTATATAAATTTTTATAATTTTCTCCGTAATTTCACCTTTAATTATTTTATATGAGAAATAGACGAATATCTTAAGAAATTGCAAAAAAAAATCAGTGAAAATAAAAAATTCCATCCACGGAGTTCAGAAAACATAATAAAGAGCTAACCAAAAAATCAAATAATAAATATAAAGATTTTAAGATATCGAAGATAGCAAAAGTATAGATATAAAGATCTTAAGACATCAAAGATAACAAAAGACTCACCTTCCTGACATTTATAAAGAAATATAAATGGAACAATATCAGAAAGTGAACCAGAAAGAACTTCCGTATTTCTTGATAAAAATCGTAAAAGATGCAATACAGCTACTTTTTCTCCATCTGAAACATAGCGTGCCAGTAATTTAAGTATCAAATTTTTAGAAAAAACATAAAATTCAAAAAAATAAGTAAATTTTACAACGTCTCCTCGAAAACCACAGCTATTTAAAATTATTCATTGTAATGAAAATATTCCTTAAGAATCTTCCTATTATAAAATGCTAAAATTTCCATGAATCTTAAATACTCATTAAAATATGTAAAGTTCGACAACTGAATAATTTGAAAATGCTCAAAAGTTCAAAACATAAATTTTAAGAATCCTATGTTCCTATCCGTTTATGTATTCGGGGAAAACTTTCAACTTCTTTCATCTTACACTCAATTTACCTTGTTCATTTTGCAATTTCCGTTTTATGTAATCCATAATCCGATTTACTTCCTTTCCCGAGGAAAAAGGCAATAAATATGACAAGCATGACGAAAACTGTTTTTTGATTACCGGGTTACGATCATCTAGGCCATTAAGAAGAACCCGTACCATTTTATCTAAAAGATAAAATAGTAGTAAATGCATTTAAGGGAAAATAAGTTTTTTGATGCAATAGCTTCTTCGTCTAGCTGAGACTCTATAAATGAAACAGTTGGATTATTAATTTAAGACTATTTTATCCAAAAGAAATCAAGAAAAACAATGTTTTTATTTCTCTTGGTGTAACTATTTTAGTAGTGTTAATACAAGAATGAAGTTTATGAGAAGAATCTCAAAATCTAAAGAATGTACCACATGAAGATCGACAAGCCATCATTAGGTCCTGACGCTGAAGGCACAAATCAATGATAAACTGACAAGTTCCAGTACGTGTCGCCACGCCAACACTAGAGCGTAATTGTTCGACCAATTTATCGCCCAAAGAATTAAAAACATCCTTATTTACATATGGCACAACGTAACGAAGGGTACTCATCATTGGAGAACTGTGTGCTACTGACACACGGGCTGAGTCCAGCTTAAATAAATTTTTAAAAAGTTTGTTCGAAATTGATAACTTTATTTAAATCTTTCACAAAATAGATGGCATCCGGGACAGAAGATTGAAAATAAATGTATTAAGTAGAATAGAAGTTAAAATTACAGCAGGCGCAGAAAAATCTTCAAAATTCAACTTAACATTTCAATTCAATATAGGGAAATTCTTGTCAAATGCAAATTACAGCGAAATTTCGAAAAATTTACCACTTCTAGTTCATCCAAACTTGATCTAGCAGCAAGATAATTCAGAACTGTTGACTCCTCTTCACTCAATGAGTCTAGTAAACACGGCACTATTACATTCACATGTTCTTGCAGTGCCGAGCAAGCTTCCTTTGCAATGTCCATGATCATTTTCAGGCTGAAAACTTACAAATTGCTAAGTTACAATCGAAAAATGAAAAATGTTTGTATCAAATAAACAATTTTCAATTAAAGGACTAAAAAACTTGGAGGCTGTCCTGAAAGGCAAACCTCAACATTTTATTGGTTTTGACGCTAGATTTAACTCCTTTTTCAACGATAACAGGAAGTACCATTCCAAGCAATCGAGTAGCTTTGAAACCATTAGCTGAAGAACATTTGCATACAGTAGCTTTAACGAGACTTGACAGAGTGCGTCCTGCTGCTATTCGAACTGATTCCTGCGCAACAACAGAGAAGTTAAACAAGTATACAAAAAAATTTCGTATTCAGTCGCAATTTTTTGGAATGTTTGAGAACGAAATTAGACTTTAACTCTTGATGAACTGAAAGAATAGATAATGATGTTCCAAATATTTTTTGCTGTAAGATACAGTCTATATGAAACTAAGCACCTTTATATCATCTTGGAGTCGATACAATATTTCGAAAAGCTGATCAAAATGTTCCACTATTTCGTTAGTACAATGCGCACTGAGCAGATCTGCTAATGCCAGACAACTGCAAATCTCGTAAATATAAATGAGTATAAAGGTCTTGGGTCTAAATGATCCAAACAAAAATTAACAGCTCATTTGCCCAGTTATAAAACATACATGGCTAAATTAAAAAAGAAAAAAAAAGTAAAAGAAAGATTAGAGGCTTCTAATCGTAATGTAAAAGATAATAAGCATCCACCGACGTAACTCGAAAAATAACGACTAACTAAGCATGGTACTTCTCCATGATGAATGAAAAGATTAGTTTTTCTTTGCTTAAATAATGTAACATATCATACTGTTTCATAGAAATACTGAAAAGAAATTATATTTGATTTATAGCTGTAATTTAAAAAAAGAGAAAAAAAGATGGTGATAAAATTGACCTCGACTCGCGCGTTCGCCACTGAGGATCCGTAAGAGTTAATTTAAGTTCATTGAAAATAGCATTTGCATATTCTTCAACCTCAAATTAAAATGGCTCGTGAAATGTCGATATATTACACGTTAAATTTATTAAAACCAACATTTGTTACAAGTAAATTTCGACTCTGAAATCACTATTATGGATAAAAGTAACTGCTTGCTAACGTCAGATCTGTCTTCGTTACATTGAAGCCTGCATCACTTCCAAAAAAATTATAAATTCGGATTATAATCTTATATTATGTATCAAGAAATTATGCTTAGCATTCCAAAATAAATGAAATAATAATCGAAACAGTCGATGAATTAATTTTTAAAGTCATGATGAAGCAAAAATAAATTGCTTCCATCGATTCCGAATATACTGTTTTTGTTAGAAACTGAAACTCACCACACTTTTCTTGGAAACAGTGATTGCTTGCCAAATTGAACGCATCGCGCCTTGAACTTTCAAATCGGGATCATATCGGTATCTGTAAAGTTTAGGCACCAACTGCGCCAAATATGGTTCCATTACACTTTCTGCCTGTTGCATTATAATACTGAAACCGAAAGCTGCACCCTAAAAATAATAACATTTTAAAAACCTTTAACATTTTGCGGAAGACCTACGAAAATAAATTGAGACAGAACTTACTTTTTTGGAATTCCACAAAACATTGTGATTTGCAAGCTGCATAAATTTGTATACGAGATCCGGCTGATTCAGATCCGTGGCCAAATTGCAGAGTTCTTTATAGGTTGTTAAATTCTCCCTAAAAGAAATGTAATTCCATCTCACGAGAATTGAAAGAGGATGAAAACTACACGAAAAGATATTGGAAAATAAAAGCATGAGCAGTTACAGAGTAGCCATATACAAAATTTAAGCAAAGGACAAAATAAAATCAAGTATTCAAGTAGACCCCATCGGTGCAGTGCCCAATTCACCCTTCGCGAACAAAACAGTATCCGGTACGACTGGAGAGACTCGTTTTCGGCCAACTGACAATGTATTAATCAATTCTTCAACCATTATTTTCTTCTGCTGTTCAGAGCCTAATTCAAAGATAACACCAAGGCCCTCGCTTGCAACTTCCTGCGAGAATTCTGCAATTCATTATCGAAACAAAGCATTACTTATGAGTTCAAATTCGAAGATTCCACAAGCGTATTATTTTCCAAATCAATTTCAATTTGGTCAAAGAATTCAAACATTTCAAACAAGAGCAATTTATAAGAAATATATTTATTACAAAATTTGTTATTTTGGACACTTCTCATCTATCCTGATAGAATTTGAAATACTTTTTTCATTAAAGATTGCTAATAGGCCGTAAAAGAAGGTTCAAAAAAAGCAAACATATGGACCGTTTGTTTCGGTTAAACCATTAATAAAAGCATGTTGAATTGAGCTTAAACCGCTCATTATGCAACTAAGCTTCATGACAACGCATCGTTTCACCAAAGTAAACAACCAAATGAGTGCAGCTTGCCGTAAATGGCGATTTATATGATGTAATTTGGTATATAGAATTTGCAGTAAATTCGCTACTTTCTTTTCGATAATGTCTCGTTCAGCGGCTGATAAGTTCCTTTCCTGAGAAATATGTCTATAAAACTTAATCTATCTCAAAACAAATAATAAACTGCTGAAACTTTTTGAACTTTTGATAATGCATCTTTTTACTCATCATTTAGTAATCACTTTTTTACACTTTCGAAGAATTGTCAAATTTACCAGAAAATGTTCCTCTGTCTCAGTGAAAATATTTCTGCGTGATGGAGAACTTTCACCGCAAGCAGCGTCGAAAAGCGCATTGCCAACTGTAAACTGCAGTTCTGGTTGGGTAGTTATCTGAAGAAAATATATAGTGCTAGCTGAATTTTTAGCCTATATTTATCCAGCAGATAACGCCACTAATCACATAAAATTCTAAATTAAACTCTTAGTACCACATATCATAACTAAGAGTACGGTGAAGTTTTTAAAATATTAGAAGATAAAATGTTATAATGTAACAATATTTTCTTGAAATTTTAATATAACATACTAGTGCTAACAATTCATTAGACTGATAATAGTAAATATTTCATATGTAATTGTTTCGCTTAAAGATTAGATCCAGTCAGTACAATCTAAGCACATGCATTTTTTGAATGCATTACATATCATAAAAATTAAAAGTTCTAAAAAATACTTAGAAAGTTAATTTTAAAAAAATCAAGCTTCCATCCGGTAAATCATCTATTTCATACATGGCAACCATAATTAAAAGCGACTAATTTGGAAACTTACTTCACCACATGCAAATAACTGAACCAAGATTTTTTCATATAAAACAGTTGGCAAGTTATGCAATGAAAGAAAACCAAGACACTGCGCAGCTGACTCTTTCATTTTTGATGTTAAAGTATCCTTTCGAGATGCTGCTATCTTCCCTAACAATTCACAGAGCGAATAAAACTGATTATCCGAAACTGATAACACTAACTTCGTCTGAAAAACGAAACTGAACGGAAAATTAAAATACTATAACGATGTTCTTAGAAATAACGGTGATTTTAAGAACTAATATGCAAATATTATGAAGTAGGAATCAAATGATACTTCTTCACCAGTGATTCTAAAAAAATGAATCCATAAATTCGAAAAAAGTTCTGGAAACAATTAAACAAAGGAAACAGCTTCCAGCTAAAATCAAAATTAACTAGCATCTTGCGCATGATTACCTTTTCTACTTCATTGAGACTAAAGACGACTCTTCTCAACAATTCCGCCAGTGAACCACAAGCTGCTTCAAAATGCTGCTGTGCAGACAATGTTTCGATCACATTCACTAAATGAACTTTAATTCTATTGATTTCTCCAGCAGTGATGTCTACCAATGGTTGAGTTGCTAAATATGAACAAAGCCATAAGATAACCGGTAACTCCTGAAAATTGATTTTTCCTACAATTTTTAACCCTGACAGTGAAAATGATAAATCTAAGTGAAGATCTGATCATATGTGAATTACGATTGAAAAATAGATATTTGAACAAAATTTTAAATTTCACTATTCATTTAATCGAACTATATGCCAGTATTTCGGCACTGTTCCTCTTGCTTTTTACTTTTTCTACCGATGGCCAACAAAGAAATGATCCTGAATATACTCTTAATAAAAAAAATTAAATTTCTTGCACCATAATAGCATATCTTTTATCCAATGTCTATTACCGCCAATAATGAGGAACTTACATCATGACTGTCCAGTTGTTTCAAACTCCGTTCTAAACATTTCTTTTTTTCTACATCACTCAGAATCAGACTGTAAAGTTGAGAAAGTTTTGCACAAACAGTTATCCGGGAACTCGAATTCAGATAACGTTCCAACGATGAAACAATCTAGAATACTTTTTGTAGGTTTCAGAAATAATGAGAGAATAAACTATGAACTTTATTGGCTGTGTTAGACAAATGAACTTCTTCGGTAATGAAATGAAAAATTACACGATTCAAAAAAAAGGCGTCCTACGAAGATTTTCGAAAATCTCTCAAAAATGAAAGAACATGTGAAAAGAAGTTATTTTTCCCTGTCAATATATGATATTAGAAAATTAATTTGACCTATTATCGCACATTAAAAAGAAATTTCGGTTAGTATTATGTTGCTCACCAAACGATGGCACAAAAATTCAAAAAAGAAAGCCTGCAATTTGAATAATCGAAGTTAAAACAAATAAAGGTAAGCAATGGTCATTCATAGAGTTATTAAAGAGCGCTGAAAACATGAATATCAAAAAAGAAAAATAACGTACCGTCGTATAGTGATTATGACCTAAATCTCCTCTTCTACTGTGCAAGAACAAACAAGCCACATCGATCAGAAAGTTAGCTGAAATCTGATTTTCCATTAATATTTAAATTTATTCTGCTTAACAACAGTTATTACTGAAAAATAACATAAGCAGTTCAACAGTCTGTTAGAGGAAAACACTACTGATAAAATGAACACTACCCCAAGTTAGAAGCAAAGCGAAATGTAATATTACCGTTTTTTTAGTAGGGTGGAAATAAAAACAACCAGATAAATCACACCAATAATGAGATATTATTAATATTACATTTACAATTTCTTTTGCTTTGCTTTCTAACCTAGCTCAAAAAAAAAAGTAATATTGCTGAAAAATAAAATAAACAGTCTAATAGTCTGTCAATCAGTAACACGTATGGTAGGATTTTTCACTCAGTTTTTCAATGAAAACACTTCCTTTCACAAGTTTCATGAAATATCTAACCAACTTGAAAATACCTGGCCGTGCTTCAATTGTTTTCAAAACTATTTCTAAGAACAGATGTAAAATTTCGGGATGCTCTTCACTGATCGAATATAGATAGTTATAGATTACAGGATAATCTGATGTTTTTGAAAAAATATCCACTTCTATTAGCGAGATCGGCTGTAGCGAACAAGCAACTTGCAAACTGGCATACAAATAAACTGCTGACTGAAAATCTAAACGTTGTGCAGTGACAAGAAAATCCTAATAATTGAGCTTAATTTTGAATCAAAAATAGTTCAAAAATGAAAAATTCTAAATTGGATTAGCACTAAATTAATATCATAATTTTCGTGAAGCACAAATATTGATTAGAACTTTTTTGATAAATAGCCTTGCTCTCTTTGCTGCAGACAAAAAATTAAAAACATTTTTTGGTGCCTTGGAATATACACTACAATTTAATGAAATATAAAATGTAATTTTATACTCTAAGCCATTTCACTTTCCTGACAGCCAACATAATATTGAACGATAGCTATGAGCATTTTTCTGAATTACACTTCAACTTACAGTGTGAAACACTTCGTCAGCAAAGGCTTCTTTCTTCTTCTTTGCTTCAGCAGTTGAAAAGTCCATAGCTCCAGTAGCATCTTGTAAATTCAATTTTCGGTGAATAAATTCAACTAAATCCTAAAAAGAAAGATTTGCACTTCCTGCTTTAAATCAAGAAGAAAGCAAAATGAATTTACTTCAAATCTAGGTATCGTCGTGGGATTTGTAACTGATAAATCCAGTAGACGCAGAGCTTCGCGCTTCATTTCATCTCTCCTGAATAAGTTATTACTTAAATTAAAAAATGGGGCCCAAATTACTCCTTTTTAGAGCATAACATAAATTATATTAATGTAATTTTGAAAGTAGCAGTACGGCATAATGATATGAAATACAGTGATATGCTTACGGATCTCCACAAGTTCGACAAAGCATCCAGCGAAATTCCAATGACGGTGTTTTCACCAATGTTTCAACAAACTTTAGAGCAGCAAGACGACATTTAGGTGATTCCTAAAAATATACTTCATCGCCTACACACTTCATCGCCAAATATTTTAAGCAACAGAATTGATACACTGTTATCTTAGCTATCATGAATAAAAACTATTAACATCATCACGATGCGCATAATGAATGAGAATAATCGCATATTATTTTTGAGAATTATCACTGGTTCTATGCAAAGAAAAAAAAACTGTTCGATAATCAAATATTTGCTTGAAAAAGTTACTGTTTTGCTTATATAATTTCTATTTAAGTTATTTCTATGCTCCTCGTCGAAATAATTAAATATAGTAGTGGATCTAGCAAAAATGTCGTAGGGACAGTCTGCTTTTATTTTAAAAGTTACACAGCTATATGTGATTTTAAAAATCCTACAGCACCTTAATAATAACTGTAATGCAACTCTAAACTATTAAAATATATAACAAAGCTTTTATCTCAATAGTGACTTTTACAACATATACGCTATGAACCAAATTCACTCCTTTTATATAAACCCTAAACAAGTGTGGCTATTGTACCCACGGAGCTAGAAAACAATAGAGGAAGAAAATAATTTTATAACATATAGAGACTTATCTTTTCTCTACAAAACAAAAATCATATAAAATTAAGTAAAAAACTTACGTGAACAATGTATGAAGAAATGAGGGCTTCTAGAACACCGCTTAAAGCAACATCATTTATTGCGCAGAAAGCGGGTAACCAGCTCACTAAACAATCTGCTATTGCAAAAGATACTTCTTCTGGCGCCTAAATATTCAATATTTTTAGAAATGTAAGAATGAAAAAATTTGAAATTTGAAATAATACGAAAAAATGACCGATGGTATGGCATCAAACGTTTCCTGCAACAGAGCCATATCATTTACGACTAGCTGCGGAACTTTGCAACCAATAATACCAAAACATTGATATGCTACGGCAACAACACTCGAAGACTGCAAAATAAAGCAGTTTAATAATGGTCGCTAAAAATGTTTTCAGTGTTAAAAGCAAATTTACGCCGATCTTAACTTACGATTCCCTGCGAAATAAACGTAATCAATCAGTCAGCTTTCCACGATAAGAAAATGTGACATTTTTGTCACACTTTTACATCACTGTGAAATTCCAGTTATCAAATGAAGACCTAAGCAAGAAAATCTTCAACTGTGGTATGGAATCGAAACGAGAATTAGTTTAAAAATAGTCGAAAAAATTTTAAATTAACAGACCTCATGCTGGTCAATCAGTTTCCTTATCGAAGAAAATATTACTGGACCAAATGTCGGTAAAGCGTTTGCAGGAAAATTTTTCACAATAAGCAATAAAAACTCGATGCTTGCCTGTTGCAGTCTGAGAGGTTTATTTTCAACAAAATCTTCCTTGCTGAACAAACCATCAAATGCTACCTAAAAGATATACGAATAAACTAAAATATAAATTCCGCAAAGTCAATACAAAAAAAAGCAAACGGATTGTCAGAAAGAATTTGAGAAAGAAAATTTCAAGTTTTTACGCCAATCCAAATCTTTGAAGTTCAACAGTTCAGAAGAAAATGACCTTTCCAAGGAAACTTGATAAAAATAAATATATTTTACCTTAATATTGCAAGGAAAAGTTTGAACCGCAACAGGCGATCTCATTAGTAGAGGCATTAACTTCAGCTTAATAGGAATCGTAGCCGGCAAAACTCTATCGCTTTCATCCAATTTCTTAAAAAAGCTTACTAATATATTGTTAAATACCATTTAATTTATGATTTCCCTGCTTTTACTAAATAATTTTACAATAGCTTTTTTTACAAAAAAAATATTAATAACTGGCGATGGTTAACATGATAAAAGCTACCTGAAGAGATGAACCGAGATATAAATTGAATAAGCTGTTCACTGTATCTTTATTTCTCAGAATTTTTTCCAAATCAATCCTTTTGATAGCAACATCACCGGCTACTTCAACTTCATTAGGACCAAGTGCAATGGCTCCAATCAACAATGGTAAGATCTCGGCTTCAGTAAAAATTTTTGATGACAATATATTTATTACAGCTAGCTTTAACTGAAAAATAAATGCAATATGCTAACACATGAAGGATTGCTAAGAACTATTTTTCTGCTGTTCAGTCAACGCTCGAAGTACAAAGTACCAACAGTTACAATCTACCTACTTTCAAAATTCTATCCCAATGATCAACAAAAAAATTCGAGTCTGAAAAACATGGCAACTAAAGATTCTTGATGAATTAAAAATGTGAACAGGAACTTACCGCAGTAATGCTAACTTTGCCATCACTTAAAACATCTTTAGCAATTCGGAGAAATCTACTTTTTGACATGCATGGATGATCACAAAAGTTACCCGACAATATCGTCATATTTCTCTTTTCGCTACTGGAAAACAAATCTTCAATCGATTGAGTAATTTGGTGCAAAAAAATTTAAAAGACGATGAATCACAAAGGCATAGTTGGGATTCTTATAGCTACGATTCACAAATGACATGCTATCAGCATAGGTTTCAACTCAAAAAAAAATCAAAACAAAAATGAAAACATACTAACTAGTAACTAACCCTGAATTTGGAAAATATAACACGTCCGAAAAAAATTTCAATATTTCCGACCTCAGTATTTTATTTTGCAAAGGCTCTAGTGACGGCCACGCTTGCTGATTTACATCAGCAATAGATATCCAAGCACGTCTAGTTAAAACAATAAGCCTATAATCTTTTTTGATTAAATGTCGATTAGAACATGTACTGTTTCTGAAAATCCTACGGAATTTTGGAACTGAATACTTTCAGCTTAAGAGATTGATATACAACTTGTACAGCTCATTGTGGAGTGCAAGTGATAAGAGTTAGCATAAATGTATAATAAAGCATATTTTGAAAAAATTGGAACAGATAGTCTCAATTGATATAATGGTTTGGAGACTAGAATCTTGAATCTTTTTCCGGAAAATTGTATGTGAATGCAATTACTTCCCTGATGATAAAGAAAGTAAAACTCACTGGTCGAATATCTTTCTCTCATTTACGTATTTCAGTAAACCATTTAGAAGGTTTGGAAGAAGAGTAATGTGTTCTTTAATATCCACACGATCCAATGCTATTTTAAGATAAACGATTGCAAAATTCTGCAAATTATTAAAATTACTTTTCGTTTGAAAACTGGTACGTAAGACAAAGTTTTTCGTTCAAGTCTGGAGGATACTGATATCATAAACTGAAGCAGCACAACTGGAGAGGACTGAAACGGAGAAGGAGAAGGTAAGGAATATGATACGAAGAGAGGGAGAGGGAGAAGGTAAGGAAATAATGAAAAGAAAAGGACCACTTCGTCATAAAACTTCATTGTGCTATGTTTTTCACCACTCGTTCGTGATAAACTGTTTTCTGAAATATCTGATATGTTTTAGCTCTACTATGAAGGGAACTGTAATCCATACCGTTCCTAAAATATTTCCTTGTGGAGACAATAAATAATGTATGATATCTTTCAGCGGTAATGTTATCATTAGATTGCTCTTGATTCGACGATTTAAATGTGTCAAAATTTCCATTCCCTTAAAAAAGAACATTTTTTTTCGATATAAATTGATGAATCCGAAGAATATCAAAAAAAATGATACCTTTTAAAACCAAAATACGAAATACGTTATTACAATTCCCGTCTGATTATAGGCTCTGGTCAAATGTCTAAAAATTTACTAAACAATTACTTTATTTCGGACTTCAACTTCGCCTGCAGAAGTGCATTGTATAATATCAAGTAAGTGTTTCCGAGTGAATGCTTCCAATTTCGAATCATCGTTGATTAAAGCCAAATGAAGGAAAAGACGTTCTACTAAAACCAAAGTTACTTAATAAAGATGTGAAATCCAATAGAAAAGTGTAGAGATGATCCAGAAGGTCATAACTATCAAATAATGCTGATTAATTTACTTCCTACCAAAATGTTTCTGTTCTGATTCTTAACCTACTGTTATGATTGATTTCCTTAACTCAATATCTTACGGATAAGGTGCAATCATAATTGACAAATGACGAAAAGAAAGATCCCACATCATTTTTCAAACAATATCACCGATGACGTTGTTCGGTTACGCTACAAGTACGCTTGAAATAATTAAAAAACGTAAGATTAGATGTTCTCTGTTCATTGCGCAGCTCATCCTGCTTCCGTACAAAATATGATAAATTTAACTAACGTTCAAAGCAAATTTCGGAATTCGTCCCAGTAATAACCATATTTATGATACCTAAAATAAGTTTCCATAATATTACCAGTTAAATATTCAAAATTTCAACAATCCAGTCTGTAGACATGAAGCCCTCTTTCTAAAATACTTACTTTCAATTTAATTAAGTTCCATACTGTTTTTCAGTTTATTTGTTAGTGTTTGTTAGTGTCACAATATTTCATTCCAACGCAAAATAAGAAACAAAAATAAAAGAAATGATTGTAGCGCTCTTTCGCTCTATTCCATTTCAAATCCATCATTGAATCATTCACTATTCTTCTTAATCCTTTCAAATGAACTCAATTATACAACTTTACCCACATATCAACTCACGTTATCCACTAAGAGAATATTTGTATCCACTCTTTCACTGCGACCTTACGACCAGATCGTTGTGTAAAGAGCTATCCCAATCAACTTTTGTGAACATTTCCTAAAATGCTTAAATCCAGAAGATAACATGTTTCCGGTTTTCCGAATGTTGGTCTTTTTTCTTTTCTGTGGGAACTATTTAAAGTATCCGTACAGCCATTCTTTATCTTACTTATTAGCAGTGTTATTCCAAAAAATTTTATCCCTTAATCGATTTATGGGTATGATGATTTTGAATATCTAATACTCATTATAGTAAATGCAATATCCCAACATGGACTTTACATGAGCCGATGGCCAGTGATGATTTGCCATTGTACATAAATTAGACTGACCATTATTATCACCCAATGCTTAACACTTAGAAGATATTGAACACACCACATTTCAATGAAAGAAAGGGATTCTATCCATAAGTACAATCAACGAATCAAGAGGGGATCCTGTCTCAAGATCCAATATGCAGTCACATCGGAAGCACATCACTACTTAATCGTTCGTCATAATGATACTCTTTGATTCCCGACGGGAAGTCTAGTCTCTGCACTTTTGTCATTCCGTCCACGGATTCAAAAGCTTTTACGAATAAAAAAAAGGTGTGCGAATAATGTATTTGCATTATCCAACACTGAACTGAAATATGTCCTCTTTCATTTTAGAGTGAGATTGAGAGAGGAACGAAGCGGTGGAATGCGCTATGAGTGGGGTGGAATCAGACTCTTCAATTCAAAAATTACCCTACTTTGGTTAAAATCTGGCTTAAAACTTTCCAGGAATGAGCTTAACAGATTTTCAAAACTAGTCAAGGGAAAAAAATTTCCCGAACCGTTACTGGATTTCTTTACTTTAGTCAAATGAGCAAAATGTGCACACTGTTTCAGAAATGCTAAGAAGTGATACCATATATGTAATTATGGTATCACTTCCTAGCATTTCTGAAACACTTCTTACTATTACATAACTCAGACCCCAACGAAATTCGGAAACGAAAGATGTAAAGTAAAAAAATAATCAGTTGACAAGAGAATTCTATGCAACCTTTTGAAAAAACGTAGTTTTTTCAAATGAATCGAAAAACGGTTTACTTTAAAATGGTCCCCAACAACGCGCACATCATCCATACTGCCTGTTGCAATAAAAGGTTCCAGAGATTTTAATATTTTGACATATTCTTCCGAATACAAATACAAAATAATACAAGTGAAATCTCCAATTTCTTAAATCAGTTTTCCCTAGGCAAGAATTCACGAGGAAACACTTCAAGTACAATAATACCATTCGGTTTTGTACATACATAGAGATGATTTCATACAACGAATTTCATACAGACGGTTTCGAGTATAATGATAATACATTAAACAAAAATGATGAGTTAAAAAACACATGCTGTTAGAGTAGAAAAGTAGAAAATCTATAAAGCAATTACTGAATAGAAAATCTATAAAGCAATTAGTGTACACCATAATTAAGGTAAAATTTTGGAAGGGAATGGAAAAGGAAGTATTTCGAGAAAATTTATAAAATTTCTGAAATTCTGAAGACTGAAAATAGTAACAGCACCAATTTAGTTAGATGAAGAGAGGAGGTCCCTGATGAAAAGTTAAATGAGAAAGAATTCAAAACTTAAGTTAGGAATAAAATAAAGAATATGAAGGATTAATTTTAACGAGGTCAGAGAATCTGATCTTCCTGCATAAGAATCAAAAATCTGAGATCGAATCTTCATTCCAATTCAATTATGATACGTTCATCGACTTTTTCTGAAAAATTTCCTATACAGTATACTATTTGAATCCATTTTTTTCCATGAAAATAGTGTTCAAAAGAATGTCATTCGTACAAGATGAACAATAAAATGCTTTCAAATTTTTGGAAGAAAATACAGTCAGATTTCCTGAGCTATCAAACATAGGCATTTGGTAATAGGTTATTACAACAGCATCCAAACTATTCTTTCAAACTTACTGGCTGGTTATACTTCTTATGATTTAAACTTCAGTTGTAATACACTATATATTTCCAGCACATATGTATGGTCATGTTTCGATTGCTGGAAAGTCATTGCCCTTATCAGAGAGAAATATTAGAATTAATGTTAAATTATGACAACGGATTTCCGCAAACCTGATCCATTCAGCCACTCGAGAGGAATGTCTATCGAAACCGGTGCTCGTGAAATGTCATAAGTGACATTCTCTTGAGCATTGTAGGGCAAATTTACATCATGAACTGAAATCCGCAGGTATTATTATAATAAATACAAATGATCTCCGTAAGTCAACCTCAACTGTCTCAGTGTGATTCTAAGAGTGCATCACTATCTGTAGTCATCGAATGAAGAGTTTTTGGAAGAAAACATCCAAGAGAATATAATTAATGCAGAAACATAGAAAAACCAAAAACCTGGTTGCATTTTTGCCACAACATTCACAGCCTCGCGATACTTTTCACTGAGATTATCCAAATTTTCCACTTCTTTTGAAAAATCTACTTCATTCCAAAATTCATGCAACGGATTATATTCTACTGTATTTTCATTACTGTTCAATTCCATGCAAATACGTGTTGTCAGATTCGTGTAATCAGCTCGTGTAATTTTCCTCATTGCCAAATTGAAAATATAATCATCCACATCATCAACAGCTTCCGATGAATTTTTTGTATCTTTCTTAGTTTCTTTCTCAATTTTTTGAAGCTTTTCGTCTGATTTTGCAACTGTTTCACTCAACGATCTAGTATTTTGCAAGTTTTTCACTGGCATATGTACTCCTAATATCGTTTCAGTAGAACCTATATTTTCTTCGTCGATTTCAAGTCCGGATTCATCAGCTGCATTTAATTTCTGATTCCGACCACAGTTAGCTGTGTCCTGCAGAATTTCAACATCAAAAACATTTCTGAGTGCATGATCGTTAGCCAGCCCAATTCTGAAAAAGCTACATTCCATCCGGAATCAAGCTCAGTAATCGATTCTTCCAAAACTTTCTATCATATAGAATCGATTCTTCCAAAACTTCCTATCATATAGAATAGAACATGAATTTCTTTATTTACATGTCTTTTTAAAGTAAAAAACTTGTGGATAAAGAGAGCAAAATTTTCACAAAACCTGCTCCAAACGGTTGATGAAGCCAGTCCATTTAATTCATTTTCAGCAATACTTTCATCATTTTCAGTTCTTATCAATATGTCAGTGAAGCCCATTAAACTGAGCCGCTCGAGTTCTTCAGTTTGTTTTTGTGACAACTGTATTGACAATCCAATAATTTGAGAAAATGAAAGTTGAGAAAGAAAACTGCGTATTTCATTAGGGCTGCTATGGTCCGAATATTCAACACAATGCATCCTTTCGTCACTGGAAGTTCAATTTACAAAATACGCGACTCAGCATATGGCAAATACATTTTCAATTTTCAAATCTCCGAAAACATTTCTGAACTTCTTTTTCGACCTTTTTCAAAAAATGTCTCGCTAACATGTAAAATGATCCTAGTAACACTATTTTGCTGAATTTTCCCTTTTTCAGAACTAAATATAAATATATATTAGATATAAATATAACAAACAAAACTATTTATTCTTACTTAATGATCTTATTAGGCTTGATATGCTGTAACATGGAGATATCGATGACATGAACATTTGCATCGTAGAGAATTGAACGAACATTTCTGAATTAAACCGTTTTCAAACTCGAATAGAATTTTACATCCAGCTAATTATTTCAGCAATCAATCTCGCACGACTTCATCTTGATTTATGAATTATATTAATGCTAATCATCTATTCTTATATTCAAGATGTGTAAATTATTTATTTATTCATCCCAGCTGTTATCCAGGAGCTTACTATTGTCACATGAATTTGCAATAATTTCACTTACTGCCTTGTACAGGTCCAAATTGATGTTTCTGCCTTCTCTGTTGTGAAATATTCATTTAATCCAAGAATTTCGGCTATTTGGAAGCGAATATAATCAACCCATATCTTGCACTACAAAAGGTATTAGTACGCAAACATCAATGAACATTTCTGTTCCTTGCCTATATTTTTCAGGGTATTTTCAACAAAATTAAAAAAGAAGGCAAGATAAAAAGAACGCAATAATAGTAATAGTACATTATTAATAATAATAATAGTAGACCTACTTTGAACTTGATAGCTACGTCAACAAGTAGTTGCTCTCGGCCAATTTTCGGGACTATAATCGTTACCGGTTTAGAACCATCAAATAATAACTCACGCACAACACTGCATATTTCAGCTGATGAAGCTTCTCGACTGGGAAATTCTTCTCGCGTGCAATTAATGTATGTAGTATCCAAATATATTGTATTAAGACTCATCTAGATGAATTATTTATATATTAGTATAATTAGCTTCCCTTTCGATTAGCTTCTCTTTAGATTAATGGTAATAAAGAAAAAAAAAGTTAATGTAATTATTATTCATTGTTTTTTATATAGAATATTCATTATATAGAATAAGGAATATGATTCTAAACAAATTTTATGTTCCCATACTCATCAATGAGAAAAGAGAACTTGACTGCAATCTTTTTTCCTTTATTACCAATTAATTAATACAATAGACATACTTTGATATCGCAAAACATTCCATATATAAAAGGAGTTTCAAATGCAAACTAACCTCTTGCAAAACTGATATCGCAAATACATTTTGATAAAATCGAACATCAGCTCGAAAATCACCTGTAAAAAGAATCCGACCATTCGATATTCGATCACCTTCAAAGAGAAACATAACAGAACCAGGAACATGATTTGCATCTAACAGCATTACTGAGAAGCCATCCATATAATGCCAAATATTTAGATCCAGAGCATGAATCAAATGACTTTGAATTCCACCACGTTTCGATCTCGGTCGCTGAGTAACGATTGGGAGAACATGAGCGGTTATGGGCGAGCAGTATATAGTACCATTATTCCACTTATTCTGTAACAAAAAAGAAATGCACAGATCCATGTATTATTAAGACCAACAAATGAAAACAGTTTTAGAAATAACTAAAATTTCAAATTGCAATTCGATAACATAAGTGAGTAAAAATGAAAACTGTCAAAATACTACCCAACATTATATGTTTAGATGTTATTATTAATTCATCACAGTGTACCTCAGTGTTAAATTCCCAATAACATTAACTAATGATCAGAGAGAATAGTCAGTGATTACGGAATCCATCAGAATATACAGTTGCATGTAAATTGCAATATGAAATACAGTATCAGTTGCAATCAGAAATCAGAGCTATATGAAAATAAATCGAATTTATTTTTTAGAAATGAGTAAGTTCCTCCCTACTAACCTTTATTGCAAATTTTCGATAAAATCGTTATAGTACTAGAAAGGTCCTGGAACAAAGGAAAGATTTAGTGGAAGACTTACATCAAGAGCACCGTAATGATCCGAATGTGCATGCGTTAGAAAATAATAGTTGACAGCAGCATCCTTCGGGAATTTATCAATCGCGATAAATCCATTGATCACCACTCCTGGCTGTGGCATCTAATACAGCCTGAAAAAAAAGAGAAATTTTGGAAATTTAAATCTAAATTGTAATTTTCCACTTCATTAGATTTTTAGTACCACGAAATGATACTCTCTCTCACTTATCCTTTCTCAAAACAAATAATCCATCTCGAATTTCTTCCTGCAACTCCCTGACATGACCTCCTCCAAACTCTCTAGCACGACCTTTTACAACATATTTGATTGCCTGTCAACCATTAAATCATGCTAATGTTTGTAATTTTGATAGTTTTCTCTCACACTTTCAGCAATCAAGTCGCTTTCTGCACGCTTTATCGTTCTCTCCTGTTTCCCACGCTTTCATTACCATCTTTTCGTTTTTCATCTTTTCCTTACTTCCTACTCCTCTACTCAAACAAGTGAACTGCGTCACTTACGGGGAAGATCTGTTACGGGTCATCTACCTCTCCTCAAATCAACTTCCGCATTTTGCTCGTTATATAATGATGCAACTGCTCTTTTTCTCTCTGTATTCACTATGTACTGCAATAGTTGATTGAATTATCAGGAGTAAAATGCTTAGATGACAAAAATGCTTGTATAGAACATGGCCAAACCCTAAGTTAGTCTGATATAGCTCGTAGATCTCTAAGTGACCCAACACGTGGCAGGGAATCGAACAGTCCATGTATGAGTATGAGAAATTAGTAAGTCCCCTTAGATTTTCTGTAAGTTATCTTAAAAAAGAATGAGTAATGAAAAACTTCATTCCTTTCAACATTCCCCGTAACCGGGTTTCTTACCGACCAATCAATTCATTCCGTTGCACACAGCCCGCGACATGAATAAATTTCAACTGATTAGGTTGTTATCTCCTGAAGTGTTATAGTGCCTACGGGTATTATGTCTTCCTTATAATGATAAGTCGTAGGTTTCGCTATCGCTTTTCTTTTATGCCATTTGATAAATTCATTCGCTACTATGAAGCAAATCATTTTCACCCTCTATTCTGTTCAAAAAGACGGGCTATATGAGTATGTGTCTGTGTGTGTGTGTGTGTGTGTGTGTGTGTGTGTGTGTGTGTGTGTGTGTGTGTGTGTGTGTGTGTGTGTGTGTGTGTGTGTATGAAA